ACAGACCGCAGGGTGAGCACCCCCTGCTGGCCCCACTAACACCTCTTCCAGCAGCAACCTGAACTTTCCCAGGAATCTCCCCTCCAGGTATTGACCAGGCTCACACCTGCCCAGCTTCAGTGGGCTGCCAGCAGTGAGTTACAGGGTTATGTAGCTGCTGGCCTGTGGCAGGAGCCAGGGGTGAACTCTCTATGTTTGGATCACATATCTTAATCTGTGCTCTGAGAAAGAGTATGTACTGGAGCCGAAGACCATTCAATGTCTGACATGCATCAAGCTCCATAGCATTTTACTGGAGAAGTAAAAAACAAATGCAAGACAGCCACCTTAATAATTTAGCCCCATACTACCTAAAGCAATATGCACCATTGTCCAGGGAATCCCAGTCACAGTTGACTAGCAACATGTTTTATGATTTATGGCACAAATTATGAAGGATTTAGAAGTCACTCACTTGTCTCCAGGGGCCGAAAGAAACCCTGTAGAACATGCCTGTCTGGAAACTGGACTCTCACAACCACCTGCCGAGACAGCCATTAACGCAGTGAAAAAAGTAAATATCCTGAATATTCTGTTATAGCTGACCATGTGTGGCTGAATTTAATGATAAGCATTTTAAAAATCCCCTGTAACACAGCACTAATCATTGTTCATCATTAAAGCATTTTAAATCTTTACTGTGATAATAACAGTGATATCGAATGACATTTAGACTGTTACAAAACACTACATCATAAATTAACGATACAATCTACATGTGATAACATTTCTTATTGTAAAAGAAGCATTTTTATCCCTCAAAGAAGGAAACACCATAGCAAATTTTGTATCTGGGAAATTCTGTACATGCCTTGCTATTTTATGTATTTTGACGATTCAATTTTTGGAGCTAAGTAGTCAAAAGTCAATGAAGAAGTGATGCTTTGCAGGTTATACCTTAAGTAAGGGAGAGGACAAATTTGTTGATCAGCTTTTCTGCCACAGTTAGTGCTAACAGAGGATAACAGATACCTTGGGGTATTTCTCCATCTTCTCCTTCATCTGAGACTCCCGCAGAGCCCTTGTCATGAGTGGAACTTCTTCAAACAGCTTCCTGGTGCAAAAAAAAAGATGCAACATCTCGCTTTTGTTATCGGTTTGCTGTTCCAAATTCAGAGAATCTGTTCTCTTGCTCCTCAGCCACTAACTGGCTGATCTGCAGCTCATGGCCACAAAGAGAGGACCTGCTGGGGAGGCAGAAAGGAAGGCCCTATTGTAAGATATAAACCTGCTTATACTGCTTGGAATTTTAGACAATGCACCGCAACCTCATACCTGAGTGCCACACAAGGAGTCAGATGTTTATCCCATGAATCATGTCTCTGTACATATAATCTTAGAAAGTCTAGTAATCTGAAATATTAACTGAAAGTAAAGAAAATACCTAAATACAAAACTGATGCACCACTAAAAATCTATCTAGTGTTTATATAAATATGAATCAACAAACTACAGATTGCAAATGGCTATTCCAAATACATCTCATATACTGTATATATATATAGTTTTCAATTTTTGTTTGCAGTTTTTGCTGACATTACACTTTTCAACCACAAAAGTGTTCAGCTTATACGTTCAGATTTTTATCATAATTACTTTAAAGCAAACATGTGCACATCATTTGTCATTCAACAAAATGAGACATCACTGGAAGGAAGCGAATGCTTCTGTAAAGCACTGTCCAATACTTTTATCAGGTGTACACCAATGAATTATTCCATTGCCGAGACAGTCACGGCACCCTAAAACATCGCAAATGGAAGGTAAACAAGCAAACATGGCCTGCTGCAGCCCATGTCAACTTCATTTGAGAAATTCCAGTTGATTAAGTTAATTAGTTATTAGCATGCAAGGATGCATCCAAACAGGCATTAAAACACGACAAAATTATCGGTCCCAATACACATTTTAGAACATAAGAAAGGATGGAAACAAGAGACAGGCATTTAGCCCATTTAGCCCGTGGATAAGTTAAGAACTAACTGATATGAGGGTCTCATTCAGCTGATTCTTGTTCCAGGCTCCCAAAACCTCTTTGTTGCATTTTTAATGCCTCTCGATTTGCCTAACCATGATGTGTTGTGTTCCGAGAGTTGCATGCCTGCTTCAGTCAAGTTAATAAGAATGTGAAGGCAACTGAAAAAACTACTGCTTGACATTGTGAACTTAAGACACAGGCGACCCTCCGTGTAGACAGATTACCACTTCATTAAACAAACCAAGAATCCAACAATAACACACTCTTAAACACAGATTCCTCTATGAAAAGTTCCCATTAACTCTCTCCCACTTTAAACAGATATAAAACGTCTTGTGGAAAACTATGCCCCTTGCCAAAAGTTACTGGAGGGAAATGGAAAGATGTTTTGCTTTTTGACAATTACAAAATATACAAGCTGAAAACATGTTTACAAGTGTGTGTATGTACTGTATATATACCATTTAAAAACACACTTCATAAAAAAAGACACATCAAATGGGACTTTCCCATTTTAAGAACTACCCTCAACAGGAACGATTTTATCTGTTCAATTCCAAAAAGCTGGGACAGATTATAAAAACACAAAAAGCTGTTAAGGGAACAGTTGGATGTGGGTGACCACAGTTTCGAGGTTGACCAGAATAGGTCATAAAAACAAAATGAACCACTAGCACTGGCAGTAATAAGCCATGTATATAAAAACTAGTGAGGAGTGGGAATTTCTCAAATTATGCTGTGCCCAAAGAAAATAAATAGAAAAATATTAACCTGAGGAATGCTGGTGCTCTGAGATCTATGCCAGTCTGATTTATTGCTCAATGAATGCCTGGAGAGAACTGTGGTCGACTAATTTTATGTTATACAATTGGAGACAATTACACTGAACAAGAAAGCAACTGGGGTTGCCTTTTCCACCAATGGGAAGGAGGATAGAGGACAGCAATTAGGGAAACGAGCAAGAGAAGCCGCCCCATGCGTGTCAGGCATGCGTGCAAGAAGCACAGAATGTCAAGCCATAATGGGCCAGCAGGGGTTTATCTGTCTGTGGTTTGCAGCCCCGACATGCCCTCCCCCAATTACAGCAGCATCAAAACAGGTTGTGTCATATGCCTTTGCACTGATGAACCTCCCTGCTCGAAAAAGACCTGGCTGTTACAGGTAATGGTCTCCACACTGAAATGTAGTTACGCCTAGAGGGGATCTGCATGTCTTGAAGGAATCTTCTGAAAAATCACGCAGTAATGTGGCTCCCAAAAATGTTTTTCAAGCAAAAAAACGTCTGAGAAGAAAAGGGCATAAAAAGTGGATTGCAGGTTCTATAGCTTCATACCACAAGTCACTGTAGTTGTAAAACCAGTTCACACCTTTTCACTTCTAATATACCAAGGATCTAAGTCACAAAATGTTTTCCATAAATGTATTGCTAGCATTGTTATTTGAGAAGGACGTTTGTGTCAACACAAGACTTAAGAACTACTTATATACAACATCTACAAAATAAACAGTCTCACAAATTCTTGCATTTTCCAGTTGTTACTAGAGAATGTGTTAAATACTCTATATAGCTGTGTATAGCTCATCAGTTCAATTAGTTGAGTGCTGTGTGAAACTGGAAAAATGTGACTGGAGAAATAGTACACCCTGAACATGACAGAAACATGCGTTTATAAAGTTACACCATTTTCCCGCTTTCTAGTGAGTATGTAAAATGGGAAAACTCAAAGTTGTGTACTCGTAGGTAGTGCTCTCACAAAACAAACATGGATTTTTTCACCAAACTGAACTTCTAAAGTTCAAACTGAACTTCTAAAGGATACACAGCATCATTAATTACAAAAAGTAACTGATGGGTTACAAGATGATATAAGGCCAGTTGTTTAATTTGCATGTACTCATAATTTTGAATAATGATCATAAATCTGTGCCTGCGCTTAGGAACACACCTGCCTGGACTGATAATATTAAAAGTAATCTCCAAACTCAGCCGGGCCTGATGTTTCAGTTTCATTTCTCATGAAGGACACTGACTGATGCAATTTCACATGCAGCTTGCCCTGCTCTGGTTTAAGAAAAGGGAAGCTTTGCTCTCACATCTGTAGGGTTCAGATTCAATCACAAAGGTGAAACAGCCCTGTGACTGAGGACTTAACAAGCGCAGACCCATGTGCAAACTCACTTCAAAGTGGCATGGGGATGAATTTAAATTAAAGAGGCTGTAAAGTAAAACAGAAGCTCATCAGTTTCCAAAACATTAAAGGGTTATTTCTGCAAAATAAACTCAGACCATACAGCTATTCCTCAGAACATTTGTTATACCATCTTCAAGGGGAAATATTAAACCAAGATGCTGTTTTATGCTAGGGATATACAGGAGACCCTGTTGTCTAAATTTTAGAGATGTGTCACAGAAGAAAATTGGTCTGAGCTTTTTGATCTGCACTCTATGTAGTTTGCAGAGAATCATGAATATAAACAGGACCATTTAAAATGCCATATTTTAAAAAAAGAGGCACAATACTGCTGATAATATGGAATTTGTCTTATCTTGATAGACAAATTACAAGCTTCATTTTGAATTTGTTGTTTTGGCAAGAAAGATCATGCTTTGAGCAAAATATTTTATCCTTAATATAACTAATTTGTGTAATTACAGAGGGACATGAAACAACTGGTATATTTTGTTGACACCCCATGTATACGATTTCAATAAAAGTTTTACTGCACATCAGGTTTTTCCACACACAAAATGAAGCAAATTAAACTAAAATAAAAATTATATTGAGGGAAAGACTGTCAAAGACATTTGTCTACTGTGGTTACATTCATTTACTATCATCTCAAACCGCAAAAAAAAATAGTTGTACAACATTCACGAAGAAAGTTTTGTTTTGAAGAGCAACTCGTAAAAAAAGCCAGAACACCAACTGGCAGAAAAAGAGGTATTTTGCAACTTTCGCCACTGTCTTACATTCCCATTCCAAGGGCTTTTAATTAAGGAATGGTAAGTTACAATTTTTAGTTTAAAAATAATACAACGTGTACTTTAAATACCAAAGATTCCCCTGAAAATGAGAGGTGAGCTGTTTTAGGTGGGTCAATAATAGAGGCCACATTTAAGTTCAGACGTACTCGAGTGACCTTCTCTAGACCTATCTCATACCATTAGGCTAAACTCAGCACAAGGTCATCTGTCTTCTCCCTGCGCTAAGTGCTCAGGAAACCTGCCACTGTTCTGTGTAATAGGGTTGCTAAGTATAGATATTCGACATAACAGCCTCTCTGTCACGATGTGTCCTGCCAGCTGCAATTTATAGCAACCCCCCAGGCTGCTTTTCTGTCCTCCTTTCCTTCTGTACCAAAGCAGGGCCAGGCCATGCCTCTCTCCATTAGGATCCCAGCCTCTCCCGCCTTGTCCCAGCTCTCTTTACACCGACCAAACCTTTCGTATTTCTGAGCTAAATGCCGGCCAGGCAGGAGCCAGCGGGAAAAGATTGAATGACATTGTCCGATCAGTTCACAGAAGATTTTCTTCTTTTTTTAAAAAAAGTGGAGTGGAGTGGAGTGGAGTCAGATGAACAGCGCCCGGAGGGTCGGGGTTGGGAAGATGGGGGGTGGGGGTGATACAACAACGTGGTTACCGTTCGCTCTTCAGCTGCGCAAACCGCTTCCTGATGTCGTCGACGGTCACCTCGAAGAACTCATCGGGCAGGTCTACGCTGTTGCTGTGCCCGCGTTCCCCAGCATCCATGTGAAAGACCAATGGATCCCTGTCCACAGGCTGCAACAGGAGAGATCTGTTTTGCCGGGCATTCAACTAGTAATGCCAAAAATAATATCTGGCACAGAAAGGAGTGTTTTGAAACTGCACCACCAGGCCTTTAATGTGGCATAACTTGAGATTCCTGCAGCACACGTGTTAGAGCTCCCCCCTGAGGCCACTCTCAGTACAGCACACACTGAGGGATGTTTAACATTAAACAAGCTGCCTATACAGCAAGAGCACAATTAGCACATTGCCTGACTTGCATCCGTCTTTTTTTACCAAGAGGAGAAAACTATGAAAACTGTGAAGTCTCTCACAGATCCTTCAGGATGCTAATGTATGTGCTTATAATATTTAAATGTTAAAACTTTTCTTTTTCACTTCATTGCCTCGGATGTTTGCGAAGTGGGCGAAGCCAACGCAGCATGGAGAAAACGATTAATTAGCAGGGCCCTGGATGTTAAAAATAAAAAGTCCATGCATCAAAAGCAACCAGGATAATGATGCGGCTGGAGAGCGAAGCAGTCTACTTTGTGGGACGGGCGCAGTCACACGTTACGGCACATAGTTGTAAAGGGAAAGAATGGGCAATGTCAAATTAAAGTGAAGAATGGGATGTAAATCCCAGATGACAGCAAACTGTTCAAATGCTGAATCTTTGCCCAGCAGCTCTACTAAGAGACTGAGGGCTGTATTAACTTAACTTTTTGGGGGATGTAATCCATTTGAGAATAATACGGTCATGGTGATACACCCAAGACGTTCAGATATGAACAACGAATCAAGTGGTACGTTCAGAGAAATAATTTGTTGTTACAGGAAATGCTACAATTCTATGAAACTCAATGCTACGTCAGGGCCTACTTTCTTTTATTTTGACAGATCACAAAAGGCCGAGACAGAGACCAGCTTTTCAAGCGTTCAGAGATAGGGACATGAGAATGTCTTTCTGAAATCTGACATAAGACTTCCCCTGACAGTTTTGGGGTCTGCTGCATGCACCTGACCTCAGTAGGGCTCATCATGCCTGCCTGACAATGTGAGGGGACACAGGAGGCCACTGGAAATGATAGACTTAGACATACGGCTTTTATGACATGTCTCATTTACATGAAAAAAAGAGAATGTTAAATCATTGGCACTGATAGGATTGTCGGAGCCTGTAGAGTACGCATTAAGAATAGCATCATTTAAATTATTTAAATGGCTTAGTTAAAAAAATCATTTGATTCATTTAAAAAAAAATGTGTGCTAGTAATGGTGATGAACCAAATAATATGTTTTTATGCCAACCTCAAGTTCCATAAATAGTCAAATAAAAATCAAATTTAAGAAAACGTCCCCTGTCTCCTGGCCACAACAAACCTACAGCGAACTAAAATAATAAATGATAAAAATAACTTGTTTCTCTCAGTGATTGCAAAACCTAATGTGCATGTTTCTTTTTATGAAGCCAGTTTTGACTGACAGATTCTCTTTTGCTTGGACCCTTTGCAGAAATGACCATGTCTGACCTCAAGACCATTTCCGGAGTCAACAGCGAATCGCAGAGGAAACGAGAAGATGGGACAGATATTTTTAGCCGTTTTATAGAAAGCACCATTTTGGTTTCCTAGAGCAGACACTGCACTTGGCTCCACAGCATGCCCACTGTGGTGCGACACTCTGGCTCAGCCCGCTGCCAAGCTCCAATCACCAGCCGGGAGGCTTCATTTATGGCCAATATGACAGCCCTTTAATCTGACAAGTCACTTTGTTCTTTGTCCTTGTTCAGTTTTGACATCCGCTGCATCAAGGAGAGGAGACACATTTCTTTTGTCTCAGTCTCTTTGTGGCTAACGGCTTCAATGAATTAATTAATAGGAAGAAATTCTTTGCTTCTCCTTTGAGGGGAAAAAGGAAACCATTTAATTTATAAAAACCAAAGTTCTCAGGAATTAAATGTAAAACTCCTTATAATAGTAAGGAAGTTAAAAAAATGTGTGCACATATTTCTTATAATAGCAACACAGGACAATGACATGATTTATTTAACTGAGTAACATCATATGTAATGCAATACAAAAACAAATGGCCAGAGTTTTACCTTGATGTCTGCTAAATAGCTACTTAATTACTAATTACTCTGATTGATGCAAGCCGGTGAATGATGAAAAAAGCTCTACTTTTCCTTTTTATAAAAATGACCATGGAATGTAACTTTAACCCTCATTTCTACAATCATTCTTTTCATTTTTTTCTTAGCTCTTTTAAAAGACCTCCAAATCACCCTGTATATATTTTCAGACTTAAAATAACAAACACCAAGTATTTCAGAAAAAAAGGACAAACATCTCTTTAAGGTGCATTTTTTCCAATCAGTCCTTCTGTAACTTAATACCAACTTAATTTTTTTTTACTTCTTTCAAAACATGAAATGATCAATGACTTTTTTTTTTACCTCTAAAAATTCTTCTCCCTGTTCAATGTCCCATTCACCGTGTTTAGCACACACTGGGCCCTAAAACAAAATTAAAAACAAGGATTACAAAGGCATTCTTAAAAAAGAGACTGATCAAAATTACAAGGCTTTGTTTTACTATTTTTGTCATTAAAGCGACATTTAGAATAGTCAACAACCCAGCGTGGGTGGTGGGACCTCTTTTTTTATTTTTATTTTTTAGAAAACATGCCACAGTCCATTGTAACTACAGGGTAACATCAGGATAATTAGAGCTCTCTTCCAGAAGACCTTAGGAGTGTCCCCATTAGGAACTCTCATCTGACATCCATCTTGGTTTTTCTCTCTAAGAAATCTGCAATTTTAAATGGGTATTTTTCTTTTAGTTTGTTTATTACGTCGGCATTGGGCTCAATAAGGAGTTCATGAAATGATTACAAAATACAGAACATCTGAAAAACCACCATCAAATGGAAAGAGCAGATTTCTTATTTGTGCTTTAAGAGCAGTAAATGATCAATTCTGACTACAGTTTAGCAAGCTACACTTTTCCGAGTTATATATTTTATTAGTGCTTAGCCTACTTAAATAATTGTTTTTATACTTATAGTGGATTACACTGTTGTAGTTAGTTCTGCTGCCTCACAACTCTAGGGTGCTGGGTTTGACTCTGGACTGATCTTGTGTGGACTCTGCATGTATTCCCTGTGGCCTTGAGGGTTTTTCTACAGGTGCTCCTGTTTCCTTCCACAGTCCAAAGACAATCAGGTTGGTGTCTAAATTTCCTCCTCAAGTTTGAGTGAGTTTCTGTGTGTGCAAGTGTAAATGAGTGAGTACGTTTGTGTACGTGCACGTGTGAGCGAGTGTTTGTGTTGGTGAGCAGATGTGCTTGTATGAGTGAGTGAGTTTCTGCGTGTGCATGTGTGCCTTGTGATGGACTGGCCCCTAGTCCAGAATCTATCTTGGTTTGTGCTTATTGTCTGCCAGGTTATGTTCTGGCTAACCACGACCCTGTGTTAGATTAAGCAGTAATTGAAAATGAATGGATGTAGCAATAATTGTAGCACAAAACAAGCATTAATGATGTAATTGAAAATAAAAATCCTACACGGTGTAAGACTTTGCAATGTAACATCTTTAATTAAGTCAACCAAAAAGAATTCCACTCCTTCCAACATCAGTAATGACCTTAGTGATGAAAGTGAAGAAGTGAAGAGTTTATTATTGCAGTTATCGCACTCTGCGGCTGAGAGCTGATAAGGTGAATGCACATTCATGTTGCCTGTTTTTTTCAATGAAATGCTGAAGCTGTGCATACTAAAGGGTTAAGGTTAGGAAATGTGACAAAACATCAGCCAGCAAGAACCAGTTGCCAAAACAGATGCTGACAGTTCTTCAAAGATGAAAACACCAGACTTACTTCCAAACAACACATTAGAGCTAAAACTCAGCGATGACATCACTAATTGCAACTACTACGAGTCAGCAGCCTTGATAGTACCATTCAGAGAGCCTTTGATGAGTGATTTATCTCAAACGGTTTCTAATATACTTCCACAGGCAGTGCTATTCAGGCATACAATAAGCATTCTTGAAATGGTACACTGTCTCTTTCCCCAGACACGCTGGAACACTTGTTATTGAACTTGGAACACAACTGTTACAGAACTCTTAGAACATAAGTAACAAGTAACTAGAAAGAGGAAAGTTCACACAATATGTATTGTGAAATATGAAAACCATGTCATACAGAATTGCCGGTAATTCGATTTTTATAAGTCCTTTAAGTACTGAGAATCCCCAGCTAAGCAGACTTTTTAACACCTGTAAACTGTATTGACACAGCAAAATCATAACTTTAACACACACAGGTCTAAACCAGTCTACTCTATGAGGGGTACATGTTGTATACTTAACTGGCAAAAATCACAATTACCATAAATCATTAACTTCATCATTAAATTTGACCAAAACCATTGTATTTTTATTGACGTAGTAATATGGTAATACTACCAACCTGTATCTGCCAGAACAGAAAATTTGCCATTTAACACATCTTAAGCATTTCTTAATTTACCCTGTGCTATAAAGCTAAAATAAAATACATTTTAAATCCTCTTAAAACACAATTAGATTTAAGAGTAAAAAGTACAATCAACTTTAAATTGTGTAATGTTCCTGATTTTTTGGCCATGCTATCTTCCAGGTTTACATCCTGATATTCCTCTAATCTCTACGCTGCATAATTAAAACATGGTAATGCCACGAAGATTACAAAGGTGATTAAAAGAGAAACAAGATACTTTAATTATCAAGGAGGCTTTGTTCCCAGAACTCAGTTTAACACTTCCTAACTGAATGAGTCTTTGGAAGATTGCCTTGAGTCAAGACGTGTGCTATTCAAACGAGTGGGTGCAACTACACAGAGAAACAGATCATCGTTATCAACTACAGCTGATCCAAAATGTAGCTACTGTACTAACCCTGCCCTGTCAGAGAAACCCTGTACTACAGATTCAGTTCTCCTTCAGGATGCAAAGCCCTTTTCTCTCTTATGACAGCACATGTTAACTGTTGACGGACCAAAGAGGTGATTTGTCTTCCCATTTCTATTCTTGAATGCATGCTTAAAGTAAAACATTAAAAAGTGAAAAATCCCCCCCCCCAAAAAAAAACATCCCAGCCCCCCAAAAATCTATGGTTTTAATCTTTGAGACAGCATATAAACATGGTGGTCAACACCTGATCCTGGATTCGATTTTGGACTGGGTTGCCTTCTGTATTTTCATAAAATGCAACAGATTCCTTAGACCTTCCCTGTGATGGACTGGCATACTATCCACGGTGTAGTCATGCCTTCCAGCATTTTTCTGTCTAAAATGGATATATGGTGTTTTACACATCTCCCAACTTGCCACAGTCCACTTCCAGTTTTGCTTCATAAGGGAAATTTCATATCAATTCTTTTATACTCGTAGGTGAATGCTCATGAGTCATAGTCACTTCTTAAAATCACTGCCAGACAATGCTCAGGTTGACCATGGGAGCAGGATTCAGGCTCCCAATTTGAATCAATTTCCTGAGCACAAACTAGAATTACTTACAGTAAAGTTACAGTAAGAGATGTTAATTCTCTTTTATTTAAAAAAAAAACGTGAAACCTCAGAACTACGTTTCATGGGCCTTCCAAATTCAAATACTAAGGAATATTTAGAAAGATGTTGCCAAAGATTATTTTGCAGGAAACATTTCTTGTGGAGAGGTGGGGGGAGAACACGTGCTAAAAAAATCAGGAGTGGTAGGAACTCCTGGCTTTCGAATTGAGCAGCTTAGTTTTCACCCCACCGGTCTGTGGTTAAGGACTCTGGAGCAATAAGACTTTCATCATGCCAATGTCCTGTTCCCAGTGTCGCTTTGGCTCCAGAGCTGTGGACAGGCCAAGGTTCATGAATGCAACACGAATAAAGAAACTGAGAAAGGAGTAGTTCCCTTCCTGTTGAGTATCTTCAGTCACCTAATTAGTGCAGTCGGTAAAAGGCATTAAACAGGGGAACATTCAGCTCCTCTAAACATATCAGGATACTCAACATTTAAGTGCACCGAAAAAAACAAATATTTTTTAACATCCTCAATAGTTTAGAAGCTCTTTAAGGACAAACCCTCCATTGTTTACAAGGGTGTAAGTTTCTGTCTCTAGAAATTACAGTTGGGAACTTCTCAGAACCAACGCACACAGCTTTTTTTTAACTTGATAAACTTAATGAAACTACCCACCAATGTTTCCCACCATTTCTCAGTGATCTGGAAAATAAATCATTATTCGGGTCTTTGATCAGAGAGTTGTGCCCATCTTTCTCTGGCTTCCTTAATTGTAATAGGCCATATGGTGTCCCCCTGAGGCTGGCCGGCTCACAGGCAGATATCAAAGGCATATATTTACAGTTATCTCTGGTACGCCAAGGAAGCAATCAGGCCTCGTTAGGGGTCAGCACACTGGCCTAGGACAGGAACAGAAATGAGTGACGCGGACTTCAAAGAGAGTCGATCCTCCAAATATTGTTAGAACTCAGAACTATACACACTATAATCAGGAAATGGGAAAACATTCCACTCTGATCTGAAAAGGAGGGGGAATATAAGAAAACTACCTTTAAATAATTAATGCGACTGACATCAAAGGTTGTGAACTGACTTGGTCTGCTAAAGACTCATAACACAAAAATCAAGCAAAATGTGTTATTTTATCCAGTCCTGTGGTTGAATTTTTATATGGTGAAAATCAAACCATTTCAAACCTTAATGGAAAATATCTGGGCTTTCTCTTGTATTAACTGAATGCAGCTTTGAAGTTCATTTTAAAAGAAGAAAAAATGGGGCAATACTGCATGCAAACATTCTTCTTTTTGAAAGCAAAGAAGAAAAAAGGCAATAATAAACACAAAGGCAGGGCGGCATTCTGTAGTATCTTGTAATCAATTAAACATCGTTATCAGATTCAAACAACAAAGATCAAAGAATTACAGGAGCTGATCAAAGTCTGTTTCTGAAGCGAGTTAAAGTTATGCCACAGAATACAGTGGAAAATGCTTATAGCTACCGTATCATCAACTCTTTCATGATAGCTGAAGTAAGAAACTCCTTTTAAAAGCTACTCTAAGGGGATCTCGAGTATTAATAAACAGAGAGCTGTAGTGTGTATCTGTGTGCGTGCATGGGTGCACTGTTTGTTTCCTGTAATCCATTAAGTGTGCATCTAATTCAGTGCCTGCGTGAACTGTGGTGCTTTTCTGAGCATCGTTCTGAAATGCCTGGCTGAATTTACACATTTAAAAAATGCATTTTCATTGATAATAAAATCCCAATTCTTCCAAGCAAACTAATCTCCCATGTTGTATAACTTAAAATAACTCAGAACAGAACAAATGATTCAGAATGTGATGAGTACGTAACTGATTAAGTTCAAGTTGTCACTTTTTCTTAATGTTTTTGAAAATTAAAAGCAGCAGTGTCATACCAACTGCAGCATTTGAAGTAGTCTAAAGCCTAAATGTCTTACACATCATCGGACTCCAACATTCAACTGTATGACTAAAACACTATTTTTCTTAATGATTACATTATACACTGGCTGAAATAATTATTCTAGCATACTGAAATCTGCTTACAAACATTACATACTTGGGTTTGTCATTAATGATTAATTGCTTGCATTGGTGTAGTGTTTTTCATCCTAGGTAAATAGGTATCACAAGGTATATCTTCAGGTATATAGGTGGGGACCCACTTCATCCACTACTAATCATAACACCCCCTTTCCTATACAGGTATTTTCCACTATCTAAGTCAAAAGGCAAAACTAAACAATCAAATGAGGTTTTCACCTTTGACCATACAAAAAGTGTATTTGTGCATTTAATAAAATATATATATACCATCAGCATTCTTTAAAAATCCACATTTAATTTGCATTTGGGACTGTGAAGAGTTACGTACCAGCCTGTAAAACCAAAAGGCTTTGATCTCAGAGTCCTCATTTCTCATGCACTACATGTTTGTACAAGGAAACTAAGGTGTACAATATGTAAATGGACACAATACCACAGGAACAAGGTTAATCGTATTCTCCGTATAAACGAAATACAAAAGAAGCGAGGAACTTTCTTTCTGACTGTATAAACATCACAAAGAACATTTCAGATATATAAAACACAAATCACAGACTGCTCTTTTCCTGCTTCTGTTTTTGCAGCTGATTGCAGGTGATGTTTTGTTCCAACATCACTCAAAAACTAGTTAACAGCAATTAATAAAAAAAATATTTTTTTTGGCTCAACTGAACTTTGATATATGCTTTCTACACACAGTTGATTTCCAAGAGATTTCCCTGAAATCTTATAGCTAGGCCAGGCTGTTCAGCGAAGGTGGCAGGATAATGACAGAAGTTTTTCCTACTCTTACCTTCGACTCACTGCTGGGCTTGGGTTTCTTGGCCTTGGGGGGCCCTCCAGGGCTGGAGAGGGAGGTCAGAGAGCTTGAGTTTGGCTGTCCGCTCCCCCCAGCGGGACCCCCAGCACCTGGCCCTCCGAGCCGTTGCCCCCCTCCGGAAAATGGCACAAAGGTGCTTGGATTTGGAGCGTGGGCCGAGGCTGGCTTCATCCTGGAAGGCAACTCAGTTGAGGGACCGGGGGTTTCCGAAGACGGTTTCAGCTCAGATTCTTGAGTTTCAATGACACGGTCTTTTACTGGTGCATTCTCTGCGCCTTTTGGTTTCGGATCGCCCAGGATTGCTACATCTCCGCTGGCCTCTGTGGCATCACCGCGCAATGGAGAGGGAATAGCAACTGGCTTCTTTGCAGAGGGCTCTGGCGCGGTCTTCTCAAGCGCAGGCGACACCACCGGCCTGGGCGTTGGGTCAGGTGGGGGAGACTGATCTGCTGTCTCTGGCCTTTCTTCCTTCTTCACGGCAGATACACTGCCCGTTTCCAAAGGCTCACCCTGTCCAGGGGACTTTGATTTCTTCAGCACATATCTATGACGGAGTACGCAGACAGAAGCAGGAGACCAGGTTCAGCAAATATTGCCCAAGTACTCCATAAGACAAACTAAGGCACATTCCCCAAGGAATATTTCAAACTCTTACTCAGACCCTTACATTCATCAGATGCACTTTAGGGATTTTTCAGGGATGCTCCCAATAGAAAAAAAAAAAGAGTAACCCACTCTGAAGTGTACACCTCCCTTCTTATTGTTAAATTACAACAATGATATAAATGGTAATACATAACAGATACCCCCACCTACATATGCACACTAGACCACATGTCATTGAGGAAAAAATTAACACTTTGCTGCATTCATTCAAACAATGAGAAACTTATAGACATGATCTACTTTAAGTCTGTCTCATGACGTAAACTAAATTTTATATCTCAGTGTCCAGTCCCTGTTACTCACCCCGTTCCCATCATCAGAAATAAAAAATATTGAAATAAGACAGATTATCCAGCAGTCCCGGCAGAACTGCCATTCAGACTCAAGAGTTGACAAGTAGCACATGTGACCAGCGGTAAGTCCTGCAGGGACGTGCTACCCCTCCAGCTGGCGATAACGTGGGGCTAGCGGCGTGTGACATGGCAAACAGCTCTGCAGGTGGGCACCAGGGGAGAGTGCCGGCGTCACATTTTCTCCTGAGCCAGTGCCGGACAGCTGAATCTTAAAACAGCTGCAAATTCCCAACACAGGTGGGCATATAACTCACAGGAAAGGCTTGCTAATGAAGGGGAAAATGCCCTACTGTGCAAATGTCGTCTCCTGGGGCATCCAGCAGAAACGCTCCACTCACCTGACGATGGCACTGCCACCCGTGAGACCAAGGGATTTCAGGGTCGTTTTCTTCAGCGCTTCCTCTCCAGCGACCTGAATGAGACATTAACATATACTTTGTATTATTATTATTTGCACAATGAGCTGGAATATCAAACAGAATCGTATTAAATCCCGTGGGCTTTGCAGAAGGCAAACGTATGAAAACACTGAGAAAGAGAAATTGGAGGGGGAAAGGATACATTTCAAGACCATTTGGCTTTTTTAACACATTTCCTGAAGACACGAGCTATTAAATAAACAGCAGTATCATGTTTCCTTTCACATTCAGTATCTATTCTCGTGCACATGCAGAATTATTTATCACTTTACATCACAACCGCTCAACTTCTAACATGCCGTCACTTAGTGACGTATTAGCTGGTGGCTTTGCTCGCTGTCAGCAAGGAGCGAGGTAAAACTACACAGCAAAATTAGGGCTGATTTGTCAAAACGTTACCTGCCCCAGCAGCTACCCAGATGAACAATTTCTGTGTAAATTTGATACACTATTCAATTCTGGCATGTAACTTATTCTCACATCCCATCTAAGGATAGCAAAGAAAGTTATTTTTTAATGCAAGGCAATCTTGTGTATAACTCAAGATTAAATCTCAAGACAGGCCATTAGCAATTCAATCATGTCTGGATGAATGACATAATCCAATATTTTAGGTAAACAATATTTGATGTGAAGGTCATGTAACTTTAAATAGCATTGTAAAGTGTGGAGATCTGTCTTAATCTAACCATTATAAATGACATGGAAGGTAGCATTGTTGTTTACTTGGTGGTCAGATATTTCTGTTAGAAAATATGCAATATTGCTCTGGGAAAGCATAAGAAACACATCAAAGCTGAGATAGTATAGCTATTTGTATTGTTGTCAACCAGGAGAGGGGTCATTAAAGACGTGAATACCATCCCTCTTTTTATAACCTACTAAAAAAAAAAGAATAACAATATCACAGCGTCTGTAGTGCCTGCACCAGTAATAACATTTTTAAGACCACTATGACCTACCTCATCTCTCATATAAACACAAACTGGAGTGGATCCCGACAGCTGTGGCTCAGGCACCCTACAGAGAACAGAAGGAAAGCTTTGAGGAACTTGACCTTTTGGAACAATAAAACGCAATCTTCAAACAGCCTCAATAGACAGGCCAGTAACCCAGTGATCCATGTGTCTGCTTGAGTTGATTCATATGAAACTGTGGGGGAGTGTTTGTGTGTGTTTATCTGTGTGCATTTGCAGGAAAGAAAGGGGGGAAAGCTCTTACTGTTTGATTTTCTTTTAAATTATTGCTGTCACGTTTTGTGAAGTTGACAGCTGTGAAAGGATAGTTAACAATAGTTTTAGTTGTTCAAGTAGGTGGCTGCGTCAGTATGCATAGGCTGCAAAGGAACAAGTCAAGGTTTATTCCATGCTGAAAAGAGAATAAAAGAAACACAATATAGCTTCCTTTTATAGCAGTCCAAGTCCACATCGAAGTGAAATTAAGCAACCCTAGTCATTATTTTTCCATCACAGGAGCACATAAGACTTGAGAAGAATCTGAAACTGGTTTGTGATTGTAGGTCTTGTAACACATTTAACAGAGAGCCTAGGCCATCTCAAGTGAAGGCTTTCCACTACCTTTAATCTTCTAATTGACTGTTTATTGTTTATTGCAATTATGGAGAGATCTTTTTATATTAAAAACACTGGAGATTTTAAAAGACCAAATTTACTGTTTCACCCTATTGCCGCAAACTGTGAATACTGTCGTCTTCTCCTGACAAGCTCATGAACAAGAAGGTTTATGCACTGGTCTTTCTGGCAACTGGAGTATTAGGTACAACTGCTGTGAAGCAGAATTCGAACAAAACAGCCCTCTTCTCTCTCCATCCTGTGGAGACAAGTTCAGGGGCACATGGGGCCGTCCTTTCTCAAACTCAGCTGGAACTCCAAGCCATGAAGTCCCAGACACTATGATGACAAGACCTGAAGAAAGACAGAATTCCCCTCTTGTTACAATCTAACTACCCCCTTTGGTGGCTAGCAGCTAACTGACTTTGGTATTTCATCCAGTTGTTGGGGTTGTGGGATTCTAGAACAAGCTCCCAGCCATGCTAGCCAATACCCCGGATGAGATGCTTGGATCAATTAACTTCTAACCACCAAATATGCTAGATGGACCGAATGGCCTCTTAACGTTTGCAACCTTTCATCCTTTCATATTCTCTTATGCATGTTGAAAGAAGCCAGGGCATCACTTTCGAAAAAAAATTATAAGAGCACTTGTTCTAGATTTCCACAAGTCTTTGTGCAGAAGTGCCTCCTGTCCCCAATTTTAGGAAATTCAATTTGGATACGGCCCAAGAGGAGAAGGCACCTGTTCACAGCTCTGAATCACGTCATTCAGATACTGCCGGTTTACTACGATCTAAGGTGCATTACTAATGAACTACAAACAGGCTGGTTCAATTGTTCAAGTGCAATTCAATATTCTGAAAAAAAATATTTTTAAAAATAAAATATAGCAGTGTTTGCTCCAACAGCAGTGATCTGCACACTAAACAAGTGGGGAAGTATGTGCGTCTATGTGGCATGATAGATACCATGTGACTAGCGGAATCCCCTTTCTAAAATGATCAGGGTCTAAAACAAGTGTAACTGAAAGTCAGCACTTGCTAAAAAGTACAATACAAGCTCACATGTTCACTTCTTTTTTAATTCTTTCCTGAAGATGCAACACTTTCTTTATAAGGCAGTGCAGGGATGTCATTTGTTTTGAGCTCCATTTTTTGGGTGGGGTCAATTTGGACAAAAGCTTATTCATTAATGATTTTTGTTTCCCCATCAGTAAAATCTTAATTAAAAAAAAAACACTTTAAGAATGACCAGCAAAGCAGTGAGATATTATGTGTTCAATTTAAACCTACTAACACAACAGATCACTCTGCTTCATGTCAGAAGAACTAATACAAATCTACAGAAGGCTGGATTTAAAACGAAAACACCTGTTGGCAAAGCCAGAACAAGCCCTTATCTCAGGGCTATGATCAGACATATAACATGAAGAAAGAAGGTAGTTATTTACATTGCTCACAAACATTTAAAAAAAAAACAATTTGTGACAGTATTTTATATGTCCAGGTTTAATACTGTGAAAAAATAGCAAGATATTTTTCCCCACTGATCACTAGCACCATAGTTTGGCTATTAACTAGGAAATTTGCTAAGCTCTCCCACAGCTGTGCCACTCCTTATACCAATGTTTCCCTTTTCAACAACTGATTTCAGTTTCAGTCCTATAGCAATAAATCCATTTATCTTTGGCAATGTATTTTTAAATCAATAACTCTACCACTCACACCCTCTAATGGTAATGTTTCTGTGATAAGGGCACCGAGTGTACTGTCGCCGAAGGAAAGAAACAAGGAGCTGGCTGCAAGCTCTCTTACTTGATATTAGAGCCTGCACACTCCAGCCACACTCCATATGCTAATCTTTACAGGCCACTAGGGGAAACGCTGTCGACAGCCTGCATGTGAGGTTCAGCAGGTCAAAGGTCGCTAGCTTCCCGCTGACATGAAAGCACACCCAGCTCACCTTGCTTCAAGCTTCCACCATTTACTCTGTGACCATCTGCACCTATACAATCTGGGTTCAACAAAGCTGACATCGAAACTAAACAAAATCCATCTGTTAATTATCTTTTCTTAGCTTTGAAGGTGAAATAACTTCAAGATCGCAACAGATTTTCATCTGGTTTGAGAGTTAGGGGCAAGAACAGGTTATGGTTTTGACTTACAGTGTACCCTTTTACCTGGGTGATGTGCTTTTATTTTTCAAAGTTGTGAGTAACAAGGTCACCCCACTCCCTGACCCCCGCTAATGTCCTGGAGTTAGACACAAGTTAGGTATTACGTGTCTGACTTAAACAATCTGCTTTGGTTTGTTTCATGTTTTTTGGCCAGATTTTTTAATTATTTGCATTTATGCTGCCTTTTAGCTGATACTCATGCCTTTTCCATGTATAATAAACATAAAACAACAAACAAAATGCTTGAATTGCTGTCATGTCTTGTTGCTGACTGCAATTAATCACTGATGAAATCATTCACCGCACACGCAATTAAGCAGATTAATAAATTTTCAATTAATCCCAAATTGATCAAGTCAGGTAAGTGTAAAAATATGTTATTTTAAACAACTGTCTAATAATAATAATAATTAATAATGAACATGATTGGTTTGAAATCAGGTGCATACAACTCATAAAACTAAAATGCTATTACATTAAACTAATCTATCCACCTGAATTACTTGGTCCACGTTTCCACACCACTATCACTCAATGAGTGAACACCATGTTGTTTGGATCAACCACTGTCACCCTGCAGCACAGAAAGCACCTCTCAATGTTCAAATAACTTTCATCAGAGAAAATGGCTCAACATTGTCCATTCCTGTTCCACAGCATGTTTTTCATTTCCAGATGTACTTGAAATCAAATAGAAAGAGACTGAACTGAAGATGTAATACAGTGCCACTTGTTTATGTACACCACAGTAAGTCAACAGATGGACTTCGATGTGGACTTGGACTTCTATAAGAGGAAGCTATATTGTGTTTCTTTTATTTTCTTTTCAGCATGGAATATACTTGAGAGTTGACTGTATCCCTCCATCTGGCTGGTGACAACATTGTTTAAGCTCAAAATGTCCTCTTTTTTCCCAGAAAACAAAAGCCAATATGTTCTGCGTTTTAACATATAAATTATTTAAATTAAAAAACATTTTAACATAACCACATACTGTAAAGTGCATCTGATATCACCATCAATTTGGTTTTGTTACAATTATTAGTAATTGTAGAATGAATAACAACATCCGTAACTCAGACGTAGATACGTACAAAAAAAGGGACGTCCATTTCAATTGGCCACAGAATTTCTTTGGTCTCAGTGGTGAAAGCTGCATATTATTACAAAGGCCTTAAATCAATGCCAAGCTGCTCGATGTAACCTAAAAATTACAGTCATTTCATTTCAATTCATACTCAATGTCTTAACTTGGCAAATGCATTCACTAGACTATATTTCAGTCTGTGCCACCACAAGACAACTACAACTGTATAAGTGTCTCTAATGCTTTCCATCATACTGAAGTATCTTAGTGGTTTGTGGTTTAAGTTCAGTATCATCTTATTTTTAAACACAACGTGGCATTTCAAACTGTTTACTCATTAAGGCATTGTGTGGTAAAACTTTAGGAAAAAAATAACTCCAAAAACATGTATTTTTGTTCAAATGCTTCTTGAAAGCACTATTAGGAACTGCAACTGCACTGAGTTTTTTTAGAAAAGAACTACTAATTCTTTAGTGACATATGAAAACAAGGATTGAGTATATATGCCAAAATGTCTTGTAAACTTTGAGTACCAACACCAGCAAAAGAAACTGGCATTTATATCTGTATTTTTAAAGCCGAGATCACGTGCAACAGTGATGAAAACAGACGTTGCACTTTGAGATGATTCCAGTGTCAAAATCATTAACACGGCTGCCACTCAAACATAAAAGAGAACATTATTTTCAATACATTAGCACAGACAGAACCAAAAACAATGCACAAAAATTGCATGTAAACTGCATAATGGATCCAATGCTCATTTGCATTCTTGAAACAGACACATACTGTAGGAAGTAGGTTTGAATTGACTCCACTGGATTAAACTGTACACATACTGTAGGTAAAGAACTAACAAACCCACATCACAAGTGGGAATTCATGTGGCTTTGGGTGAATTTCTAGTTCAGCAGCAGTTTGCTCTAAATCCAAGCATTTAAAAGACATACAGTAGCTAGTGATGTATCACTGCCATGAGTAGAAAAAGAAAATTCACGGCCACCCCAGCAGATAATTACCAATATCTGCGAAGACCTCCTTTGTTTGTGTCATATTCACAAATCAGTTTCCTGATAGGCAAGATCAAGTTCATATTGAACTTTCAACACCTAACTGTAAGATCTTAAGGTATCATTTCAGGTGTAATCCTGTCGGGGATTTTAATGCATTTTTAATGAGAATCTAAGGTTACAAATGTAAGAAGGAAATTCAGGCCTTCTAGCTTATTTGGTTGCTAGAAGCTTATCAACCCCAAGTATCTTGCCCAGCTTTTCCTAGAAGAGTTCCAGGGAAAATCTGCTTCAACAGCATAGCTAGGTAATTTATTTCAGACCCCACCTCTCTTTATATTTACAGACAAAAAGCCAAACACTTTTTATACAAATATGAGATACCCAGAAAACCCACAAAGCCAAAAGGTAAATGTTATAGCATTTAATTATTTATGCACGTTTCTACCAATTATTCTAGTATATCACATTTTTTCAGCTCTCTTTTAAGAAAAATCAGAGGCACAGATTGGTAAGGTCTTTAAGATCTAGCTCCAAAGCAATATCTGGTTGTGTGGTACTAAAATATTTACTGAAATGTTTACAGAGATACAGCATTCACAGATTTCACACAGTGCTATTTGTTCTTGTACACTGTACAAAAATACTATATTGTTAACACAAATACCTATTGTCATCGATACATCAATAAGTGGATATCCCTGTACAGAGCTTTCAAATTAGCTAAGGAAAAATACAGATCCTCAATGAACATTACACTGGAAAAGTGAGAATTACAAGAAATATCATGAGCTGATAACAGGTATTAGGGTCATACGACAGGATGCACAAACATAATAAAGAGAAACTCTTCAAAGAAAGGCAAAAAGAAAAAGAGACATATAAAAACAAAGAAATATACAGGATTACAATGAACAAGCAACCCACAGTCTCTCCAGGTTACACACAAGGAGTGGAATGAAAAATCACATCAGATTCTCTCTTGATCTGGCCTGGTAAATTCTACCTACAGTACATTGTGTGGTGCTTGTTCTAGAGATCTGAATACAGGAGGAAACAAAATCAAAAGTGCTCTGATAAATATTTTGCAGCGAAGCTGAGAAGAAAAGTAATTTGTTTTATTTCTTGAATACAAGAGAATATAACCACAAGGGTGGTCTGCCAATATCAGGTATGCGTGTGTGTGCTTGTGTTTCTTTAATAACAATCTTGCTTAATTAAAGGAATTCATGAGACAACACCAAATGAGGACACAAAATATATAAATGTATCTGTATTTGTGCATGTACATAAGAGCTAGAGACTTTACGGCCAATGTTTACTGAAGATAAAAGTGAATCCATTATTTTTATTCCATAAAGCAATGCCTAAGCCTGGAAGCTTCTGTGGAAAATAATTAAGTTGTAAAATGATGTCATATTGATGAAAGGCAGCTCGGCAGACACTTGGACAGAGGCTCTGGCAAAGATTGCACTACATTGTATAAAAATATTAAATCAAAGCAGGTGCCAACTTCAGGCATTTTTAATGCAGTCACAGCACCAGACGAGAGACTGGCATCACTTTGAGACTGCTTTGATTACAATACTCGCTCACTTGTGCAGCTTTTATAACTCATAAAAGGCTCAGTTGGTGTTTACACAAGCAGGCATTTCCAAAACCACAGAAAAAGAAATAAAAGGGAAGAATTTGGAGCCCTCTTAATGATTTTTTGTTGTTGTTGTTGTTGTTGTTGTTGTTTGACAGATATTCAAATATCGGAGGTACCTGGATCTCACTGTCGGGTTCAGTAAAAAACTTAAATAAATCAAGAATTGGAAAACAAGCACTTCTCAAACTCAAATATGCGGAGTTGGCCACATAGGCTTACAGTATTGTGTTACTTATAAAAAATGAATGAAAACAAATAGGTAATGCACAGATTTTTGTTCTAGGTGAAGGAAATGCCAAGATTTATGGCATGGTGTTATCAAAACACCTAAAAAAAATGTATAAAGACACTTAAATTAGCATCAAAGTCAGAAATTACTTTGATAGTCTTAAACAATTTCCCCCAGTCGTGACTGACAATTACAATGCCATATTTTATAACCATTTAACAAATTTCATAACCTTTCCAGATCAGGTCTTTCATATTCTTCTTGTTGTAATTCAAATTGCAGCTTGGTTATGAGAAAATACACTGAAAATTAAGATTTTAGAATAACGCTATTAAGAAAGAAGAGTGGTAACTATTTTAAAACAGAATTTTATTTAGCAAAACAAATGAAGCAAAACACAGTGTAAGACACTCCTGCAATTCCAAAACATAACTGAAAAATGCAATGTTATTATAAAGCTTTTAAAAACATTGAAACAGAAAAAATATACATACATGAGTTAGGATTTTATGACAATATCTGGTTGTTGACAAGGCACCAGTTCTGAGCAACGTGAACAGAATGGTTCAGTTCCATTTCCTGCTTTATCTTTTAAATCTGTGTGTGTCTCTCTAGAACCAAAGTAATCATTTGACAGGTACTAATGTGTAACCCTCGGAAATACACATTTTTGTAGCACAGTCTCGTCCAATCTTAATGCCAAAAGCCATGGGAGATGCTTTTAAAAATCCAGATGTATCTTTTGTTGCTAAAACAACTGAAACACCTTGGAACGTAGTCGCAAGGCAAGAGGCCAAGCACTAAAGGATTCAAAGACCGAACTTCTTTACCCGATGTTTACGAGAATGTACATGTGGAGTGTTTGAAGGGTATAGTTTTGGGGAACTGGCTTACAGTTGGGGGAAGTTCACTGTGCAGTCGCATCTGCCTTATGGACCAGTAAAAGACTCCAGTAGCCCAGCCAGACACCCGTGTGTCTACAGGTTCACAGTAACCCAGCTACTTCCCTCATTCTGCACTGCATTTTATTCCTGTTTCCGCAATGTAAAATATATGCTCTCACCTAGTGTGTGGGAAATGATTTATGAGCTCCCACAGCGACTGTCCACAGCAGAAGGAGTCCTGCAGTCTTGAACCATCTTCTAACTGCAAAGCAATGCGAACCTAGGAGAAAAAAATACATACCCTCGTGAACTCAAGACAAGTTTACCTGGCTGGCTGCAGTCACTGGGTCAATCATTTTCCTATGTATCTATCAAATTCTATGCGTAACTTCTATCGTGAACACTGGACACACCGTTAGTATCATTTGTGATGATACTACAGTATCCACGTGAAGCATTAACAATGTCCAGTAATAGACTGGCATCCCATCCAGGATGTAACTCTGGTTTGTGATCACTTACTGTGGGCTCAAAGCAACCCTCTGTAAGGTAAAGAGGATATAGATAATGGATGGATGGATTAAGTAGAAACTTAAATTCATTAAAGATATTATATGCATTTCTTGTCATCCTTACTACTTGCATAAACTTGCAGAGAGGTTTGTCAGCCTAGTTTGTGCTTTTCCAGACAAGGCTTTTGCAGATAAGCTGACATTTCTGTTTCTTCTAGTTCAGAATGAAAACATTCCATTCCTAGGAGGGGGTATGAAGTATCAGGGTCTCAACAGGTAAGGACCGTTTGTTGAATGGGTGGATGGACTTTATTCTCTCGTTAGCAAGACAAACAAAAGCAATTGTTTAACAGTTAAGTTTTTAGCATTTCAATAAATAAGACCCATTGAAACCACCTAAAACTCAATCCTGAATGTCGCAGGTATTGGAAGTGATGGGAATAGCATGAGAAAAACCTGTTAATGTAATTTGAATAGAAAAGCTGCCTTTATGTTAAGCAATATGCAATTTGCAAAACAAAATATCTTATCAATTACGCCAGAACTGTGGCAGATGAAAATCTAACCTCCTGGGCACTTGGCAGTCATGGTTGTTGTACCAATTCAATTGTCCTTCTCCAATTTACAATGGCAGGGCACTAAGATGATTTATGTAACCCAGAAAGAGGGCCCCTTACCTTTTGTCCAAGAACCCCCACAACAATTCAGGCGACTATCCAAGTTAACATCTAAGACAACAAGTCAGGGACAATTTGAAGTATCACTGAGTTTCTAAGGAAAGATCTCTCAACAAATAATCGATATAATAAGCCTTTCTAACCAAATATCAAAATCAGCTGATCAGCCCCTGACTGGCCCATCTGTATAATTAAAAGAATTCTTGCATTACAACCTGTATGTGAACTTAGTTACAATGCTTTCTGATGACCTGTTTTACACTTTTTAAAAAAAGTATAGCAGTGGTCCCCAACCCTGGTCAAGAAGGAACACTGGCTATTTTGTTTTTGAGTTCTTAATCAAATCGCTAACTGATTTTAGTTTTCTTTTTAGGAAATATCTGTAAATTTGCTTCCAGGTTTTTACAAAATCCAAACGTATATGCTATTGGTATCAACCCTGTACCACCTTCCGAGTCTCAGAACTCGGTTTCAGGTGGGCTGCCCGAAACCTAACCAATTGGACCTCTGCGGACAGAGGGTGCTCTCGTTGTGGCCGTCTCTGCTATATAGCGCTTTTCTGGGCACTCCACTCAACGCTCTTTAAAGGTAATGGAGACTCCCCTCCACTACCAATTATCCACCTTGATGCGAATGGAGCCAAAGTACCATAGACAGAGTCATACACTGTTAAAGGCCATGATTGGCAAAGGCCAGGGGGATACTTGGCTGGGGTAACAGCCCTACTCTTTTCGAGAAAAGCTCTGGGATTTTTAATGACCTGTTTAGTCTGTAACAACAGCAAGCAATTTGAGGGGAGGCTGTACGCTGAAAGTTCTCTCTGTTGGAGTTGTCGGAAACCCTTGAAGTACTTTTTTTTTTTACACTCAGGAGAGACTGAACAAACAAGTGAAATAGAAATCTAAGCAAGACAGCAGATCAATGAAGTCGCCAATTAGCACAGGAGATTTTGAGCTCAACTGCAATGACCAGGGTTGTCAACTACTGAAGTATAGAATTCTTATCACTAAGCCTTTTTCGATGATTAGTTTATTTTCATCTTATTGACCTGGTTATGGTAATAACACTTGGAAAGCCAACAAAAGCCACAAGATGCAGCAGTTTAAGGTCTGACTTCTCTGAGCCGCTCTGTTGAAAGGCAAGGGAACGGGCCCTCATTTGAAGTCCTGACATGTTATACATCATCGTGCTTGGCTAAACATCTTCTTCCGCACAACTATGTAAGCAGTTTTTCAGAACCTGTTTATTTTCTGGAGTTATTTACCTTTTTGTAAACAGACAAAAAGATGAAAGCACTTTGATGTATGTGGCCGGCCTGGCCACCACTGGAGACCAGCTTGTGAGACGGCCTTTGTGTCCTGTTATTGTTCAGAGAGCCTGCCAGTTGTCTTGTGGTTTGAAAGTTGAGATGTCTGGATTCCCAGTGGAACACAGTCTAATAGATTAGGGTGCCTTCAGTCTTTGGCATTGCTAAAGGTCTGGCAAACAGACCCAATAAAAAACAACCAAGCAGACACAGGCGTTTTTTTAGTCAATAAGGGTATATTCAAGCCACATACTGCAAATGAAAAAGAACATCAGCAACTCGTTTAATTAGATCTGTGTCAGAAACCTCTGGATCTGAAGCATCATAATTCAACACTCCTCTCAACCGTTAACAGCTGACTCTCACTCAGCTTCATTTTAGCACAGCAAAGCACACATGAAGCTGTGCCAAACTGAACATTCCTGTAATGGCTTGCCACTGTTTAATTCTGAAACAATGAAGGCAAGTGTATAATTCTGCATGTGCAACTTTAAAACATACAGACATTAACCTCTAACAGAAGATGTTTATTATTGTTAAGCTAATCAATATCTCAGCTGCATGCCTATACTGAATGAAAGGGCTTTTCCACTTCCTCTGGCAAGAAGCATAAACTTTTACAATCTACAACTTTCCACAACAAAACTGCATGATTATAGTCATCTCTCTCAAGAGGAAGGAGAAAAAAATGCATCCTTTAAGATAATGATAGTCTGTCCTGCATGTTAATTGGTGATTCCCTCCACCCCCTCTTTGAAACTCAACAGAGAAAGGCAGTGATTCACCAGCCACGGGTGGAAACTCCTTCAGGAGGGCTACAGAGACTCATCAATTCACGTCAGAGGCGCAAGCACCAGGGCGCCAGCCTTCACACAGACTCCTGGACGACTGTCACCTGAGGATTCCCAGTTGATCTCACGTCTCCAGCCACTTCCTCAGCCCAATCCTACACTGCCATTATCCCATTGGCCTTAAATAGAGGGGTCTGTGCAGCATCAGGAAGAAGAAGCCTGATGTGTCCGTGTAGCAACAGAGACACCGTGTTGTTATGCTGCTGTCTAAACAGTCACAACACATTCCCCACTGAGAAAGCTTGGAGCCAGCTCATGGAATGAACTGGCTCCTTAACAACCTGGAGACATGCTACAGCTACCAATGAGACCTTATGCTCTCATTAACATTGCTTCAAAGATTCAAGGCAGATTTCTGTTGTTTTGCTTCCCCTGCTAACTTAATTATACAGTTCTGAGATAACACAGACAGTTTAGGAAGTGAGATATTTTTCACATAGCCTATGTAAGAACATACAAAAATAGAGAACTTTCAGAAAAATTGAAAATTGCAGCTTTAACACTGCCAACCTGAAATTCATCAATGGTTTTATTAGCTGTATTAACTGGAAATTCACTGTAGGCAGGCACTGTCAACCACAATCCGAGGAAACGATTTCAAACAGCTTCCATTCCAGCAAAACAAGCCCACTGGCCTTAACACAATGACAGCATAAAAAAAACATTCAGGAAAACTTTTTCAGAATGCACTGAAACACGCTGAAAAAAGCACCAATGTGGCAAGAGGGTCCTGCAAACAGCTCATGACTGTGTTAAATCCTCGTTTCCAGAGATGATCAGAGTCGAGCTGCCTTCCCGAAAACGTCCACAATTTTCAGAAAGCGTGTAATTAAAAAAGAAAAACACTTTTTGCACCGGCTCAACCTGTCAGCCTCATTCAATCGTAACCTCGATCTGCCAAGAGACCTCAACGGAAAGCTTCTGTCCTATCTTGAAATAATTAGTTTCCATTGAACAGGGCATCATCTGCAACCAATATAGGATCACGTCTGACCAAAGAAGAAGCTGCTCGACAGATGTGTCTTCAGCCTCTCACTGTTTTCTCTATTGAAGTCAACATCTCAGATGGTACTTCTTGACACAAGCCAGGCATCAGGATTGTTTACTGATGCTTTCTGGATAATATAGAAAACATGTGGGAAAGAACTTGAAAGGATGCTTCGAATGTGTTAACACAGAAACCCTGTACATGTTTTTTTAACAACAGGGCCTAATTGCATCTTAAAAATAGAGAGTAAAATTAAAATGGGATGCTTTTGAGAAATTTCTCAGGGTGAAAGAGGAAGAAAACACAATGTTCAAAGGCAAGGAAACTATCTTGGAAAGGGGTAACAAACACTGAGTTGATTAGTTTTACAACCATGATAAGCCAGTAAAATGGAAACACACATTGTTTCTGACACCATCATTGTGAAGTAATCTGTCACACTGCTTCACAGAACCGAAGCATTCTTTAACATACATCCACAAGCAAAATTCAAGGCCTGAGAACTGATAATAATAATAATAATAATAATAATAATAATAATTGCTTGCACTTATATAGCGCTTTTCTGGACACTCCACTCAAAGCGCTTTACAGGTAATGGGGACTCCCCTCCACCACCACCACCAATGTGCAGCATCCATAATAATCAAACTTGTCAGGGAGCAATTTAAAAACAGTGGTTCCATTTCAGTGCAATTTGCACTGTATCTTAAGAAAGACAAAACAATCTTTAACAACTGACAAACACTGTTAAATCCAATCGCTTTGTTTAAGAAGAATGAAAAAAAACACCCAAATTGAAAGCCTTGTTTAGTATCCATAGAGTGCTGTCTTTACAAAAGTGTTTAAAAATTTCATATAATATGTCCTTAACCACACTGTCGTCATCTTCTGATCATTGCCAATACTTTTATCCCTCTAACTGAAAGAGAAAGGCATTTGCAATCTGTAAATCTAAAGTGAAACAATATTATTCTCAGGGTAACAAAGACAATATTTTCTTCCATGGCTCTCATACATCTGCTTTACTTTTTATATCAACCTCTACTCTCCCTGAAAACCCCTGTGATTTAAAACGCTACATCAGGCAGCCAGCATAAATGGGAAAAGAATAACGTTAAAATGTTTATTTAAAACTTTAATTAAATAAATGCAATATCCATTATCCTTCCAAGGAATATATACAGTAGCTCTTTTCTGCTTATTAAATGTTATCATATGCTGATCTAGCCAGAAAATCTTCTACATGCCTGTTTTATAACGATAATCATCACACTTATTAATTTGCCACTTGCTTGTAGATTTGGAGATGAATACATACTGTGCTTTCCACTCCAGCTCTTTGCCGGGTACTTGGCACCATCTCCAGCTTAGCGTTGTTGGGAAGGCTGGCAAATCTCCACTGCAGTGACAAATCCAGAACTGTTCTCTGAAACCTAGAAATAAACACCAGCAATGCAAGTGATTTCTCAATGGATGGCAACAGAGGTGTTCAAAGACAGAACAACAAAGGGCTGCAAAATGGCCAAGAATTCAGGATATTCTCAATGAATGGCATGAAGCTGAGACAGTAGTAATAAAATAACAGTTTTTTTCCTTATGGGTGATGCAATTGGGTTAGCATGGTGCATGCATGCTTCATTATACATTTGCTCTGCAGTTCTACAAATTATGCTAAGGATTATGTTAAACCCACTCAGAAGTCACAAAACTATCATCTGGTGACCATCCTGTCATTCAATTTAGTGTTATTATTTTTTTAGGTCCTTCTTATCCAAGAGTATATGCAACTCAGACTTGAATGTATCCTATATATATATTACAGCAGGACAAAATGGAAATAGGACAGACTTTCATTTGTGACAGAAAAGGGTATTTTTGTTTTCTTCATTCCCATGCCATTAACTGAAAAATCTCTTACAAAAACAACAGTGAGTTTGGATTTTATTCATGCTATATCATGTGATCTGACAGCATTCCAGGCAGATAATGAAAACTATGTATCATGTGCTGAGACAGAGAGAGCACCTGACATCACACCCCATCGCATTGTATTTGAGGTGCATCTAGTCATTATTTTCATTATGCTAAACTTATGCGTCATGGAATTACTACTTTTATTCTAATGCCATTCACAATGTAAGCCCAACAAAAAGACCTGTAATATATCATTGTGTGTTCTTACAATTTTGGATAATGACAAGTGACCAAACAGTTCAAAAGTAACGGCTCAGGCTTGACCTATTATAACCAGGCCTACGCACACACACACATATATATATATAAAATCAGAGATTCTGAAAAAAAACAAACAAATAGTATTCATTTCATAAAAAGAACTTTATAATATTTGATCATCAGGGTAAGGAAGACATCTCATTACCTTAAATCTGTTCAGGAATAACGTGGGAAACAGCAAGTTAACATTTTATTCCAATCTTATTTAAAATCTGAATGCCTCATGTTTTGTTTTAAAGCATTTTTCTACCAGTTTTAGTTTATATTAGTTTGAGCTCTGAGGTGAAGACAACAACAGCTTTAGCTGACTAGTTAAAAAAAAACTCAAAGCATTACATGTATTCTGTGTTGTAATAACTTGTAACATTTTTGTTATCCACTCATATTATTGAAAACATTATTTCTTATGCTGGCTGACCGTGCAGATATAATTTATAAGCTGGTGCTCATCCTAGGTTTATTAGGTGTATGTATTAATTCTACAATTCAAGAGATTGTTGATTGTTTTTTTGAAGTAGCTTGGACCAGTTTTCCAAACCCAGTATTAAGAAACATTGATGGGTAAACGGGGAATAAGAGGCACTGAATTTTGAACATCAAAATTTACTTTCTAGACAGGACTTAAAGTCACAATCATAAAGGGATCCAGATAAGAGACAAGTCTAAAGTGCTTTTTACTTTTAAAAGTCGAACTTAGAGTACACTGATTTAAGTCCACAACTCTCAACTGCCATAACCCTAACCCTACCCTTTGCTAACAATCTACTACACACAACCTGCTGCAGAAAAGTATGCTACCACACAGTGTTCCAGTTTCTATATAAAACCTAACCTCCTAACATCCAACAGTCCTTCCGGTTAGTAAGAACACTCTTTATTCTGAAAACACGGGAGGCACTACTGGTTGTACATCTCCAACAGTAAGCATAAGTAAAACTAAAAAGTACACATGATCATCTAGTGGCAACAGCATACACAACTTTTTAACCTTTATGAGGTTATTAATGTACAGTACAAAAGGGCATAATATCCAAAATAATGTTCCTTCTATATTACTAACACAGCACTTACTTAAGATCATATTCATCTGGATTGAAGCCTTGTTTCTTGCACACATCTTCCAAAACCTAAATTGGAAAAGCAAATGTTGAACACATTCAATACTGATCATGTATTTTTTAACCTATGACTGCATTTCATGACACTGTTTTAGGTTCAGTGTGAAATTGGTGTGAAATTATTATTATGGTTAATTAATAATAATAATAATAATAATAATAATAATAATAATAATAATAATAATAATAATGTTTTTTGTATTGTATCACTAAAAGTGACCAAATACTTTACATTACAGAACAGTAGGTTTTGCACTGCACAGTTGAGGTTAAGTGATATTAACTGTCTTTCTTCGACAAGCTTACACAGGTACAGTCAAAATAACTTAAATTCTTGAAATCTTTATGATCCAAGTGCGGAAACCCTTGTTCAAACAGCACAATTCACTTAAATGTAAATCTTTCGTTAAAAGAAAACGAGAGAAAAGAGATGGTTGCTTTTTTTTATTACACAAAGGCTTGTTACAACGGCAGGTTGTCTTATTGTGATAGGATGACAGGACAAGGTGTAATAAACTTATACGGGAGGTTTCAATAAGTAAAAAAAAAAGTAACGATACAAGTTTAAAAATCAAAACGCCATTGTTTTCACAAGTTTTTGCGTGTAATAGACCCTCAGTGCCCCGAAAACTGAAGTGTCATTGTGCAGCCGCCAAAAGGAAACACCCATTAATTCAACACGGAGCAAAGAACCACACTCATTTCTTGTGTTCTTTTAAAGTACATATGCAAGTTTGTAAATATTTACCTGTAGAAGCGGGGTACTGTGTAAGACTTTAATCGTCTGCCTCCTACCATTCGGAGCAAGAACTATCACAGCTGTGCTGTTGGCAGCCATGATTGTATGACGTCTCCCTGTTTATTTTGAAACAGCTTTATCAACAAGCGCGTACAAAGCCCTGAGAACACTCGCTCTCGTTGTGCGGCCGCTGCGAATCTACGCGAATAAGGGGAAAGTGAATAATAGGATATCGGTTTGGATAAAGGTCAACTTTCGTTCTTCCTCCGCGCTTTTTATTTTAAATGGTAAAGACATGTCATCTTGTCAGAGACTGCTAGATGGAGTATGCGGTTTTACTGCAGCTGTTCCGTGAAAATTGTGGATTCCAGTGGAGTTAGTAAAGACATTCAGTGCTTTCGGACATGCATAAGTGCAAATGCAATTGAACCATATTCGTATACTGCACAGCTCCTCCCTAGTCCTATTTATCAAATACACACCCACGAGTCCGCCGCCTCGGTTAACTCGAAAATAGCACAATAGGTAAATAAGTAACGTTTCCTTTTCGATAACCTCGGTGCTGAAAAATGAATGTATGTGATCGAAAACTAAATTCCATTTTGTTAACTAATGTGAAAAACTGACATTCTCTTGATAGAGAGGGAAAAGCGACGTTTAAATGTAACAGTGATCGTCCTAGAATACACATGAAATAAGACTTCGATAGGCTTTTAGGGTATTTATAAGTATTCTGCAAGGAACATGATGAGACGGTATGGGCTGTGTGTATTGGTTTCGGAAAGGCAGTGTCTAGCACCAGTAGCTGCTAACGAGGATCATCATTAGTAGTTGATGCAATCTTGTTGGAATGAAGGACCATCCTGACTAGCAGCACTGTAAAGCTGCAGAAGTGGCCAGGAATGTACTTCTTGAGCAAAGAGTACATCATGTTTGACATCTTTATTTAAAAAAAAAAGATAAAATCTACTTTGAGGTTATTCTCTTTGTAATTCAATACTATACTTAACATTCATCCCCAAAACCCAACTTGATCAGCAAGCTAAAACTCATTTGGCGACCCTGCTGATTTACACACCAAGAGCATTTGAGAAGCTACTGTAAGCAGTGCACTTGGAAAAGTCTTGGAAACAATATAATGTAGAGTAATTCATTGAAAATGCAATTAGATTAACAGTAATTAAAGATTTTGAATGAAAAATTGCACAATTTAGTGGTGATGAAATTGACCGGTGTATATGTATAATTGCATAAATCAACAAATGTGATGCATGTACCTGCGAACATATTGCAGTAACCCGTAACCATTTATCAAAATATTCTAATTTATGTGATAGACATATCTATGATATTTTATTACCCTCTTGTAGGGTTAACAGGGGAAAATAAAAGCTAAATACTGTATTGTGGTCCCAATATCAAACTCTTTATGTTAAGATAGCACTACTAGGTTTGCTGCTTTCAAGACAAAAATGAGAAATGCCACTTAAAAGGTATTTAAAGAAATGATCTTGTGAAATATAAAGATTTTATAGACAGTGGTTTTTCCTTTGTTCTTGGAACAAGGACCTGCACCTGTTTCTGATGATGCGATTCAAAGCCTACCCCTTTTAAGAAGCTGATCCATCCTGATCTCTTTGATGTAATCCGATCTACCAGTTCCAAATAACGGGATTTGAAGATCAGGCATGCGCTTTCAACGGCACATACTGATCAAAAATAACAGGGGGCTGGGTCCTCACTTTTGGGTGTGTGCGAGACTACATGTGGATCAACAGTGCTGGGAGGAAGGAGGATTAATCCTGAAAAGTGGCTGCTGGTATAGTACACCGATACCTGGGCACTGAGTTTGAAGATAAACGTAAGACTGAAAACATAGGTGTCATAGTGAAGAAATCCCAGCAGTTCTTATATGGTCTGAGAAAACTCAGTTCATTTATTTGTTGGTTCACTTCATGCACTCACAATGACAAAAAAAAGGCCTTTCACATTTTGTAAACCTCATTGGTGAGCCTTTAAGACCCCTGGCACAGCTTTTTATACCCAGTAGATCCTGGGAAAGACCTATGCCTTCACCAAAGACCCATCTCGCATCCTTCAGCGGTCCTTTGAACGTCTGCCTTTCGCTGTCTACAGTGCAATTTAGCATTGTTCTAGAGGCTGTTGGGCTTGCAAGCAATGGATAATCAACATGATATCTGTTGAACAGAGCTCCCCCCCACAAATGTGCATGTACTAATACCTTTCCAAATACTGCACGCTTACTTTCAACCACTTTTGTGGTCCGTAGCTGTTTTTATCTCCGCAATGTTTTTTTGTGCTTTGCTTTTGTCATGTGTTGCATGTTGCACTGCTGCTTGTGGCTTGAATTGAAGCCCACTCACTCCCCCCACCCCCCGGGGATGATTCACGTATTTTGAATTGAATTTGAATAGAATTGAATTGAAAAAAATGTTTCCATCCACTACAATGGTGAGTCCTGCTCTTCTGGAGTCCTGCTCTAGAGTCCAGGCCTCTAAAATTCAAACCACTGCGAAGCTCTCAGCTAAACCACTCAGTGTATAGGTCTGGCAGGGTGCAATTAAACTGATTGGAGATACAAGAGACACCTTGGCTTTCAGATGAGGAGAAGGCTGTGCTTCTGAAAGGGTATAGCCATGACAGCAAGGTCATTCTCAGCTGACCTAATTCTGGAATTCATCCACTCAGACCTTTTCGCAATATTTGCGTCTGCGGGGCAGAGCAGGAGGGAAGACCAGAGCAGTTTAAGACCCTCAGGTTCAAATTAGACCCACACTACTAAGATCAAAAACAGGCCCAACCCCAGTCTTGTCAGTTACTTGTAGTGTTGGGCAGCTAGATACGTTCTTTCTTGTATAATGCAAATAGAAGATAATCCAGTTACCTGGTTTTAAGTAATAACGGATTTAGTTTTAAATTTTTCGCATGCCGATGAGGTCCAGAACTGTTTCTTCAATAGTAGATTCTAAAGCGGTTGCCGTGTTGATATGAGTTTCTTGACCAGTTCTTTTGATTGGAAAAGTGATTGGAGAGTGATTGGAAGGGGTTTGTACCTTTTCCTGGATGTGCCTGAACATCTTCAGTGCTTCTCTTTACTTAATGGGTGTGATGCGCTGCTGTGCTATGCTGTTACTATCATCCTTCAACCTTCACACCTTTTTCCGAGGACAGATGTGAAAACACCAGTTTACAATATCTTTAGTCACATCACTGAGGGCAGAATTCCTGGCGAACGTGTTGCTGCAGTGCGTTGGAAGATCAGCCCTGAGCTCTGGCTGCCCATCTGTGAGCGATTTAAGGGCTCCGATTTTGTGGATGACTTGTGATAAAACAGAAGGTATAAGTAAAAGAGACTAGACTCAATCAATGACAGGTCTGTTCCTCCAGGGGCTACCACATGTCCAAATCTTGCCAAACATCTGTTTGAAGTTCTCAGAGAGTGCCATCAGCCTTCTTCAGGAGATTCCAAATCACCTTTCCTTTCTTATCAGTCTGTTGATATGTTAGAGAACTTTTAATGAGGTTTTCAACTACAACCTGCTCCCTGTGTTTTTCAATTGAAACATACAAAGCATTCCAGCAGAGCACTATCCTTTGAAAATACTTCTAATTGCATGACACAACAGCTAAAGCATGCAGACGTTTCAACAAAAACAATGTCCCTTAAAGGATCATGCCTACATTTTTTATTCAACCGATCTTTCAGAGATTTAAATATAAGAGGAACATATGTTAGCATTGATAGTTTACCCATAGAGTAACTGTGTAAACAGTCTCTTGCTTTTTTCCCACTTATTCTCTCTCCCTCTCTCTCACGTTTTTAAAGCTACAATTGTTTAGACAATGTGAGCGATATGCTCATTATGTTGTATTTTAAAACTGTGACTATGTGTACATAGTAATCTAATGCTTCATAATCTCTTGGATTCTGCAAGAGGGTGTTGTCCAAAAAGCATTATGAAACAATTACGTGGTGAGGTTTTAACCAAAACAATCACCCTGATCTAAACTATTGTTCTTACAAACCTATCAACAATTCACTCTCTACAATTAAAGAGCCAGAATCATGTGCTGTAACCTGATAGTAAGAGTGTCTTACACATACATAAATGTATTGGAATGTGTTAGTCTTCCTGCCATCCATGTGAAATCAGACCAGGAAACAGAAGAGTCTCTTTCAGTACCCATGCTTACTTCCATGGGGCTGAAAGTCAATCACCTATATATTAGTATTGTAAATGTTGTGTCAAATACTAAACAAATACCAAAACAAATATATGTCAAGCATTTCTTTTTGTCCCAACCTTAGTACAAAGCAGCACTTTCAAATGCCAAACACGTCCCAAAAGATTAAATTAATAAATTGGTTTTATTCAAATCTAATAAAAATCGAGCCAAAAATTACATATGCTTTTGGAGTTCAGGATTTTCAGTTGAAGTAAGGACTCTCTGGTATTGATAAGCTTCTCTTGTAGAAAACACGATTTCATTGATAGTGTTCTTAAAAAACAAGAGAAATAGACTACGTCTGGAATCTTAATTTTATACCACAATTTTAAACGAGAGGATTCACTGGACGTATGTCTGTGGACGCATTTTATATTTACTAAAGTTATATTATAGAGCTCTGAAGGGAAACTGGGCAAAATCACATTTTCATCCGTTACATACCGGCCAGCCCCCTCTGCTGCCTACTATAATGATATGAGATCATTCTGTTGTTAACAGTCCAGGAGACTGTTCTCAGATTGCTCATCCATTTTCCTACATACAGTGCGAGCATTAGCAATTTGATTGCAGTAAGGAAAAGCCACACTGTCATGCAAAGGCGCCTCTGATCGACGGATCTGAAATCGCTCTCTCCGCAAGCTCCCACGCGATACTGTAACGTCTCCTCGAATAGAACAGTATCCTGGTAGCATATCTATTGTGTCCTTCTTTAGCATTTTAACAAAAGAATGGCTGTAATATGCCACTCTTTGAACGGGCCAGATAAGGGTGGGTTTCCCGGTTACCACGTTGCTGGGTAAAATGAATCCAAGCCCCCTAGTTGAAAACAACAGGCTTCTGCAGTTAAGTGTCCCATTAACATCATCGCTACACTCCTCTTTTATCTCACCGCCTATGGGCCGATAAAGTCTTCCAAGAGGGTCCCGAAAAGTCCATAAAACACTAATGTCTTTATGTATTTATTGTGCGCAACGGTTAATTAAGACATCACCCCCCCATCCAGAGCGGGAATAAACTAATTACCATTGCAATTACTCCGAGAAAGAGAGTTATAACAGGACTTGGAGTGGTACGCCTCTACTTCTCCTAGGACTATTTAAAGTCCTTTAACCGTCGTCTGACAGTTTTATTAAAGGTATGCAGGGGGTTTTGTTTTCTTTAGTACCCCAGCGAGACGCGTATTGCCATTTGCGAGGAAGTGCGAAACGACGTATTTTGCTCTATTTTCTCAGGTGACTCTTTCGGCACTTCGCAGTAATCAAGGCGTCTCTCGCGGCTTCGCTAATTTCTTTTCCTTCCCCCTGTGAAGATTAGGAAAACTGGATCCACCGCACGTTCTCTGGCTTCTCCCTCGAGCGCAAAAGCAGTCGTATTTCGGGATGAAATGTGATAATAATTATACACGTGCATATACATATATATCAGCAACCTGTCAGTCCCCTGTTTTTAGGAGACAAGATTGAAATTATCATCTTCATAGTCCATAGGGACTATAAATCTCGCTAGACTGTCGTCCAATATATTCCAAAGGAAACAAAGGCAATTAAAAATAAATTATTATTATTATTATTATTATTATTATTATTATTATTATTATAGCAGAAGTCACTATAGCTGCATTAGGAACAGGCAGAGGTTCAGAAAGATTCGTGTGCCGCACAGACCTTTTCCTTGCGCAATAACTACGCACCCATCAAGCACAGCACGGAGATGTGGCTGAAGAGCGCTCCAGCGACGAGATTTACTGTTTCACAACTGTGCTAATGCCAGAAAAGTGTGGCTAAATCTCGACATTTCCTCGAAGCAAGGCTTCTGCGGTTATCGTATTATCTTTAAAGTGACTTTGCGTGGACTTGACATCCTTTAATGTCTAAATTACAGGGCAGAGTGGGGGAGTTTGGGTAGGGAGGGAAGAGAGCCGCTAATCAGTAATGGGTTAATTTGTCTATCTTATAGCTTTTCTTCTCTTTTCATGCGAGGATACCTCAGTTAAATCGAAGATCCTCACGTGACGGCTCGCTGCATCACGCAGACTTGGATCAAAACAAAAATAAAATACAGCTACTTTAAATCTCGGAGACCTACGAACACAAGCGGGTATAGCCGGAGCCGCCACAGGGACATTCCTGTATAACAGTTACGTGTTTCCAGTCAAAGGATGCGAAACTGGAGTGTTTTTTTTAAACTAAGAAATACAGTATGGCAAATGATCTTGCGGGAGGGTGGACGGGTGGGGGGGGGAGGGAAAGGGAGGGAAAGAAAGAGGATCGTGGTAGGTGCTTTGATCATCACGGGCCCCCGTGTAGATAAAAAGTTTCGGCGTCCCCTCTTGTAGCCCGCAAACACAACCTGCTCTTGCGCGAACTTCAGTAGACGAGTCAGCCAGGGAGACTGGAGTCGTTTTTCTCCGGAACTCAAGAAGGTAATGAACACGCTGGGGATCAGGGATACAGGATACAATAAGTGCCTGCTTATAAACAGATATCAAGTAATCGCGCTTCAAACGTGGGAGCTCATGAAGCGTGGAAGATCATAATCTAGGGCACTCCAGGAAGAAGAGATGAAGTTGTTATAATATAAAGAATGTTGTGAAGACGGTGTTGGACCTTGAAGCCTGTTCTCGCAATAACGAGATTAGTTTGAAGTTATGTGGAGTTTAAAGCTAAGAAATCTAATGAAAATGTATACATGGAGTCGTTATCTTTTAAGTTAGGGGGGAAACAGCAACACTTCAGAGTCACCAGTGTATGCAATATAGTGTACCAGTAAACCCGATTTTGAGGAGAGCTGAAAAAATATGCACCTGCTCTTCTTTATGACCGCTTCAATATGTTAGTTTTTTGCGCTGTGGATTGAATGTACGCAGAAGCTTAACGCAAACGATTCCGGCCATCGCAACAATTAAAAAAAAACCCACAATCGCCATCTCTCCGAGAACAACCCACGTAAATGTAATTCAGAATGGTTTGTTTAATAATAATAATAATAATAATAATAATAAGCACGGGGTGCAGGCTCTTTTATCAATAAATCACACTTAAAGGCGCCCTATATAACCACTTTATTGAACCGGGCGTGCTGACAAACATCTAATCTTAAACGATGAACCTAAAATCGGATTGTGAATCAGCCAGTCAAAGGCCACTGGGAGTCCATGGGTGTAATCTACATCTCAGTGTGAAACCAAATAGACCTGTCGTGAATAGCTTCGCCCCTAAAGATTCTATTTGCGTATCAATCCTATGGAAAGCGCCTTGCCTCTAAGTGCTGAAGACCTTAAAGTATGCATGCGTTTATTGTTTCCTTGTCTCTCGCTCTTGTTGTTAAAATAGTCGAAACACCTGTGTGCGATAGGATCTGATCAATTCCCGTTTTCCCGAAAGCAGTCTGAAGGTGAGTTATTCTGGGGATGACAGTAAAATCGCTGCTGTCTGAATCAACAAACACGGCCTTTCCCCCCTGTCCGTCTGGGAAAGCGGGGAAGCAACACAACATCAAACGTAGCTTCAGCCTTTTCTGAAACGACAGCTTTGTGTTTGTTTAACCTCAGAAGGAAAAACTGTTGACTCAGAAACGGAAGTCTAGGAGTAGTGCGTCAGGTAAAAACGATACTTTTTTCTTCTTAAGAATATTTTTTTAAGCTTCTGACGATTTTAATCATTTCGCTTCATATCTTTTACCTCTAACCTCCTCAATACTTGAGACAAGAACGCACATAAAAACGGGAACGAGATTCCCTCTGCTGAGATTTTGAATAGGTTAAAAATGCATAAATGTATATTCGTATATTCTTTCGGGGTAGACATAAGAAATGCCAATACAGTAACATAATATTTTCTCATAGGATTTGGTAAAGAGGCAAAATATGTATATATATATCTCAGTGATACCCTTCTGATGTCCCATAGGAGGTATGGGCTGGGCCTGTCAGTTTTTTTTTCTTACCCTTGAGGTAGGTTAGTTACAGAGAGCTAGTTCTCACTTTGTAAATTTTTGTGGATTGGGAAATAGCAGTGCCGAGCCAAGAAAAGCCAGCACATCCAGTAAAATATCTTGAGATCAAAAGGACTAGCGCGTGGGCATCTTTCTTAATAAATTAAAGAGAAAAAAAAACTCCAGCCTCTGTAAATCACGCCCAGTGTCCAGCCCTCTCGTCTGATTGGCTCCGAGGAGAAAGAAAGGGAAAAAAAGTTTGAATAAAAATCCACATCCCGTAGTGGGGAGTATTATTAATTTAAAACATAGGCTAGCTCCAAGGCATTGATATTAATATGAACTTTCCAATAGCTGCTTTGAAAAACACTGGGATTTATTAAGAACACTTACAAAAACGAATCTTGCTAAGCTATCATAGCCGTTATATAACATAAATATATTAACGTATAAACAGTCGTTTCTTTTTTTTAATATATGTCATTCAGGACTGGTGTATTTATTTCTGTGATTTTAAGATACAGATATCCGAACATGGTCTGATCTCGAAAATGTATTTGCTTAGCTGGTTTTAAAGAATACAGGACCGTGTAACGGAGAATGAATGCCATCGGCTCTCATAATACTGCATAACTATACAGAAAACACACGCACACTGCTAAAGAAAGGCTCATCTTTTTAATATTTAATTTATTTATTATTTATTTGTCGTTTTCACTCCGAACATAGTTATCTCAAAACGCCAGCTGGGAGAAACCTGTGATTAAACCCCAAAACCAGGAGAAGACGCCAAAAGGAAATGACCGCCTGTGAGAGCCTACAGAAGAGAACGATGACCATGAAGCTCTTCCACTCGTGCTTCTTGCTGGTGCTGCTGCAGTTCGGGGTTCTGGAGGGGAGGAAGGGTTTGCGAGGAGGTCGGGCGAACCCGCAGTTCCGACGGGCTCAGCCCTCACCCCCGTACCGGGACAGAGGCGAGGCGACCGAGAGCTTTACCTTGGATTTCACGGCGGTGGAAGAGAACATGGACAATTTCATGACCCAAGTCAAGAACCTCGCGCAGTCCCTGTACCCCTGCTCGGCTCAGAAGTTAGACGATGACATGAAGCTGCATTTCTTGGAGAACACGTCAGTCACATGCAACGATGGGACGCCAGCTGGGTGAGTGTGCCAGTCAACCAGTCACCAGTGCTTCACTGTAGCTGCCTATGTTAAAAGTTTGCATGTGAACTGTAGGAAAGGCACGGCGTGTAATCGTTGCAACACAGGCATGAGAGTAGGTATTTGTGTAGCAAAGCGTGGTAGTAATACAGTGATACACAAAATAAAACAAATACATGTCATGGTAATCGTAAAACAAGAGGAAAGTCACAAAAAAACACTGCAATTTTACCAACGTAAACTTTTACAACGATTTTATAAGTGACATAGACGTATGTCTCCTTTAAACACTTCATATTAGCCTAACCTGTACAAACTATCGCGGTTTATAGGTGCTCTTTCAGAAAAAGGTTTGTAGAAATTCATGAGCTATCAGAAAACGCTTGCCTTTACACTCCACCAGTCTCGATAACCTTATTTGCGTGTGAACGAAGAATGGATACGGTGGTAAGTAGGTTCAAGGAACGGACTGCTGGAGTAATAAATCCCTCCAAAATATAATTAATCCCATTACAAGTCAACATAATACCACTTTGCCACAACTGTACATCACTTTTGATACACCTACTCTCATATTAAACAGCAACTGTCAAAACAAACATCGCTGTGCCTTTTCATCTAAGCCAGAGCCCGGCTAAGGAATCCGTTCTGTGACCGCATCTGTGAGCGCCATTCGTATTTCCTTTTGTAGTAAAAAACACGAAGCCCTTTTATTTCCTTTCTCGGAGACAAAATATCACACATACGCGTTTGCCACAGGTTTTAGCTAAGATAAGAGAGTATTTATGTACAGCGGGTTAAGTCAACATGTAGTCAGAAAAATAATATTTCCTTGCCTTTCCATATTGCTCTTCATCCCAAAGGCTCCCCAAAGCGTATTACATGCAGGAAGGCGCACCCACCCTCACCTGGGTGATGTACTCCACTACATCGCAGATCAGGTGGAGAACTGAGAAATTGCTTCAGCTTTTTAATTAATGGGAAACTTGCTGAAAATCCTTAAAATGTAGTGTAGCTAGGACACCAAGGTTAAAACCCTATGAACAGTGTTATGGGTCTTCAGTAACCACAAGCAGTCAGGACGTTGGTTTGTTTTCTCATCCAAAGCGCGGGATCTCCGACAACACAGAATGAATATGTAAAATAAAGAATAAAAAACAAATGCTTTTAGGAACATTTAGGAGAATCATATTTCAAAATACAAATTAAATCGATTTTGGTCAGCCCATTGTAATACATTTAAATGAATAAATTTAAATCACCGTGAATACCTGTCTTAAGTGTTACTAGCAAGAATAATTAAGGCAGGGAAGTTTTATTACCTTTCAAGACTGATGGAGCACATGTACCATTCTCTGATCATGTAGTACTGATCAAGGTGTAGGAGCACACAATTTCACATGCAAGTATTTCTTTTTAAATCTGTATACTTATTACCAATATGCACTGTTTTCCTATAGCAATCATCTTGTTTGTCCTGAATTCTGTTCCCAGCCGTGAAGAGCCAGAATTCTCTAGAATTACATTTTACAATATAAGATTTCTGTTCAATTGATTCCTACCAAACATCCATGAAATATATTCTTTAAAAAGTGTATGAGTTTCTTATTAAAAAGAGGATAGTGCATTACAAATAACTAGTGCCTGAATTTGGGTGTCACGTTACTGTGTCTCTGTTATCACAGAACACGTATGACAGTAGTCTTACACTTTAATTTACAATGTGAATTCAAAATCTTTTGGCTTGAGTGGGGTGCAAATAAAGCAGCCAGGCAATACATTTTGCACCCACATGGATCTTTTGAGCAATGCACAGGTACTGGTTGATGTTTGCTGCTGGAATGATCATAACAGGTAGCAGCACTGCTCATGCATGTGCAGGCTGTGCTGTGGCACAGGACCAAGTGTAAGGAAAGTGGACCAAGAGTGAGCGCTAGATAAACGCTCTAAACCCCTGTAAGAACTTAACTCACCAAGGTTTGTAATTTTACATGGACTGCATCCATGTAAGATCAGACCTGCTTCATTATAGAGCCTGAACAAAAGCCATTTAGGCTGTTATTATTCCTCGCTTAATTACACTGCTGCTGTGGTGCTCTCCCTTTGGCAGAGAGAGCACCCAGGCACTGGCAAAGTCAGTGTCAAGTACTTGGTCTGCAGGTGAACCTTTTCAGCCTGCAGGGACAGCTTAGGACTGTGCCTAGGAAATGAAGAAGTTTTACATTTGGCTGGAGTTGGTTGTATTAGGGGGACCTTTTTGTCATGTCGGCACTTGTAGAAGAATGTTACGCAAATGTTTGGAATTGATGTACCATACTTCATGGCATAGTCCTTTAATGAAGAGTGAAGATTTACTGATGTAACAGATGGCACTGCAATTCAATGGGAGTTGGAGCAAGATATAGCTTCAGAAAACTCAAGTCACCACGCCAAGTTCTTTCTAGTAACTGACAGTTAAGCACTAAGAGCGTGATTTGGTGCAGGAATATTGCCTTCAAATCAAGGGTTGCAAACCTTTTTGTTCTTATTCATTCTGTGGCATCAGAAATGTGGGTTAAGACCAGAATGTTATTTTAACATGAAGTGGCTTGAGTGCTCCGTTTTTGAGTTGGTAGAATTACTTAAAGATTGTATGCACATTAAGCACGTTTGGAGCAGAAAGCATTCTTGTGAAGGCAGTCCTCTCACTAACCAGGAGAGTTTTTGAAACTGCTGGTGAAGTTTGGTGAATTCTGTGAAGCTTCTCACTCCTGGGCTGTTCTTCTTAAAGGCTTGTTCCCTTGTTGTACACCTGTAGAGAGTAATGGCAATGAGTATTCAAAGTCTACAGTTTCATGCAACACAAGACATCACAGACAAAGACAAACCATCGAAAAAAGTGCAGATCACAACCCTTCTATTGAAAGCTGTTTGTTCAGGATGCTTTCACTATTATAAACGATAAAATCGATTGGTTAAGTAAAAGACATCAGACGTTATTTAGTCTTTCATAATATGATTTAAAACAAAGTAAAACTAATATACATGCAAAGAACATGCATAAAGTATTCAAAATATTTGAAAAATCTACAGCACTAAGCAGTTTTCAGAGAATGAAAAAAATAATTAATTTGCTTCTGACCCTTTCAGAGAATACCATCATTTGGCAAAAAATCAAGATCCAGCCAGTGGAGGTGGTCAAAAGCTTAGATGAGAAGTGAGAGTCCTCTCAAGTTCAACCTGGAGCTCTGTGTTGGACCCCCAAATCTCTTGAGCATCGTCAAATTAATAACCGATTGTACCCCATAAATAGAATTTGATTAACTATTTTTCATGATAAAGCCCCCCCAAAACTAATGCACTCATTCTAAATGTTTTCACAGTGAGTTGAAAAATATAATTAGTTTTTATAGTCACACGAAATCTTAATTATATGATGGTCATTAATTTACTGTTCCTTCTCAGCTGTTTGTATGTTGTGTACAGCCTCAGACCCTCTTCTGCAGTGGCCAGCATCTCTTGCAAAGTACACTAGCCATGCCCCTGGTAAACTCTGTACTGAATTACTCACTTAGACAATGGCAGATCAAAGAGATTCCTTTGAAAGAGTTGCAGCAGTTTATGCGTTGTGAAATTACTCATGCAGTGAGTCTGGCAGCCACACAAAAAAATACAAACTTCCAGAACATCCCAATTAACTGTCTCCTCTTCTTCACAGCCCACTGGATTTCATTTAATGATTGTCAGCTTGGGATACATGTGCTGACAAAATTTTTCAGAAGTATGTTCTGCATAAATGCAGCTCTGTTTGTGGTTTTCCTCTAATGGGGGTGAAGGAGTTCTATAACCTGTAGTCGTGTTGTAGATGATACTGAGTGCTTTACTGTCTTACATGCCTACATACACTTCTTTCATGCCATCCACTTCAGAATAGGGTCAGTTTCAATTTAACAACCAGGTGTGAATTATTAACATTTTCATCGGGAGACCATTTTCTTTAGTAATGTCTGGGATTCCTTGGTAATTCCAAAAACCAAAGCGCTTCGGTTCTAGAGAAAACACAAATGCCTCCACTGTGCCATTGTTCTGGCATATCATATTTCCTTAATGTTACCCCTTTGTAAGTTAAGGTCTGTGTGTAAATATTTCCTCAGCACCGTGTCACAGTAATGTCATGAAAAATATTTTGGAGATGTGAAGCATGGTAGGACCTATCACAGAATATACTGATTAAAAAAAAAGATTTACAAAGTCTCAATGTGTTGCACATTCAATCTCATTTGCACACGTGCAATTTTGTGTCCTTTGATCTCACCCTTTGTTTGATTTTTGAGTGGATCGTTGGGTCATTCATACATGTGTCTTAATGTCTTCATCACTCTGGAGACATGTTAGCATATCCCTTGGTCTGCTAGAAGCCACCATACCCGATTTTCTGATGTTTAAATTGTATATGAAAGTAAAAACTCTTGACCATACCCATTCTGGAGATTGTTACTGCATCTCCAAAGATAATATGAGTTAAGCTATTGTGCAGCTCTGCAGTTGACTTTCCACTTGCATACTGTGAGTACATTGCAAAAGCCTTTAGGAAGAAGAGGAGTGAGAGAGGTGAAATAATACATTGAATATGGCTGTGAAATAGTAAAACTGTAAAGTAGGAAATCTCTTATTTGTATTGTTCAACTGTAAGAGTTGTTCAATTAGCAGAAATGATAGCCCAAAAAAAGGCCCCAATTTAGGTAGACAAACAGGCAATTTTGTAGCCAGTAACATCTTCTATTTCAGGATGCAAAGAAAATGTGAAGTAAACTTGTTTTATCTTAGTGTTTTGAAGTAAAGGCAGTGCTGGTTGAACATTTTCTGTTTTATTCGTTTTTTTATTGCAGTCAAATTTGTGTAAAGCTAATGGAAATCTTTTTGGAAAGCTTTGCAGTAGCAGGTGGGATTTCTCCCTGATAGAAGCTGATATTTAGAATAGCAAAACGGAAAGCTGATAGGAGAGGTGCTCCATTCTCCTTTCATCCACATTCCTGAATTACCACATTTTGTGCTTGAATCAGTCAGCTGGGATTGTCTTGGTCTGCCCAACTGAATTATAAAAATCCCCAAGCTTGAGGTAGCTGTGATATTCCACAGCGTACCTACTGCAGAAAAGGACCGATTGCCTGATCATTTAATCCATACTCCACGGTGTTTTTTAAATACATTTACCTCACACAAGCAAACGTGACTTCGGTAGAGGAATAAATTGTGTGATTGGACATAATTGCCCATTGTGAGTCCCTACACGTATTATACTAATTCAGTAATTAATAATAGTTTCAGGATCTTTGAAATCCAACCAAGTCCTTATTGAAAAGAACATTTTAGCCGTGAAATGAAAGCCAAATGTTTTAAGTTCTGATCAAAGCCTAGGTTCAAGCACATGTCTTTTCAAGCTTTAATATAAAACAAATTGCTCGGTGGGCTGACTGTGTGATCCTGTGTCAGCAATAAAGGACAAGCCCTTCAATTGAAACAGTCCATGAGGATAAACAATGTAATTTAATTGACACACAGAAATAGCTATAATCCATTTATATTTTAACAACTGCTAGAATACACAGATGGATATTTCTGAGTATCGGCACCATCAGTTTTTCTTCTTTATTTTGCAGATCTAAGCTGCAGTGCCTGGTTAGAATAAATATAAAGGAAGAGAACATGAAATAATTGTGAATAAAATATTCCAGTCCAATTCCAAGGTTTTGATGACTTCATAACACACTTGAGTAGACTCTTGTGGTTTAGGATGTCACCAGCAGACTGCGTTGGAATTATGAACCGTGTAATTCAAAGCAGCTCGACTATTACACAATATAAGTGTGTTCCACACATTATGAAAGCAGTCATTAAGAGCTGGGTAATTTCCTACCACTCTGCTTTTAAACTGAAACGGTATTTTGGCTTCTTCAGAGTAGACGGTCCGATTGGAATTTATTATTTCCTTCCTCAAAAACATTTTAAATAAAAAAATAAATATCCCCCCCACCCCCCCAAAAAAAGACTCATAAATGATGTTTCTTTCATGAGCTGGAATCTCCGAATATACAGGAGAGGAAACGGGGGCAGCTCTTGAACGTCAAGTGAGTCAGACATTTTCACAGCGCTGTTTAGCCTTTCCTAATTTCTGCCTTTGAAGTTGGGGATATTTTTGGCAGCCTCTGGAGATCCTGGTTAGACCTGTGGTCACAGTTCACTGGAGCCCTGTATTTACAGTAGACACATTGAGATGCAGGCAATAATTTACATTTTCACTTTTTTTATTTGAAAGCACGCGCGCGCGAGTGGAATGATGACACTAGTAGGAATGGGTGAGGAAGCCGGAGAGGAGGTACCATTTGTGGGGTATGGGGATTCGAAACCAGGAGATGTAAGCTGTAAGAGTTCCAAAACAGCATATAGGCCTCTTATAGTGTTTGAGGCCATCAGCTTTCCATGGCTGGCTGGCCACAGACTCTTAGGTGTGTTATACTATTCTGGAGGTGAACTGTCACTGGTGACATTGTGCTAGTTGTCAGGCAGATATGCTCAAAGTTCAAAACATTCCTTTAAACAGGTATTGTAGAAGAAACTGTCAGTTTTTACTGATATAATTCCTTAAAATCTAGGAAGGATCATGAAAAATGTATGATGTAGTACTGGCTTTGTCATTTAAAATATATTTATTTATATAAATTCCCTAGATACCTTACTTAACCTGTATAAGGTTCTTACTTCATATTTTGTGATAATTTGTTTTCCTATGGAAGTTATTGTTGTTGTGGCACAGGCATTTTTTCTTGGTTTTCTGTTTATAATGTTAGATGTTCAGTCATTAGATTTGGTTGCAGTGTGAAGCACAGATCCCTTAGTGTAATGGCTTTTCAAAGGAGAAAGTGAAAAGTTTTAAACTTTTTTTCTTGGGAGATGTTATTGATAAACCTGTAATCCTCACGTGGAAACCAGTGTTTTTAACCTTCATGCTTAAGCAAAATGCCATTTCTATATGGACTTCTTCTTTCTTGATTTTTTTATTCTACCAATGCTTATGCTTTCTGAAAGAATCTCCTTAGTAAGCTCACATTCAAAAAGAATAACAAAGTCTTTTATATAGGAATCAAAGGGACAAGCTAGAGAAGACTGGTTCATTTGAGATACCTGCAAAATGGCTGTTTCATCTTTCATCAAGGAATAAATTTCCCTTTAGTTTTAATGAATGCTTGCATACTGGAATCACACAATATTCCATGACCAAAAATGGAATAGTCATCTTCTGCAAACAAGAGGAACAGGAATATAAATATTTACAGCTTATAATGTACCTGTTCCACTGTGTAAAAATATCCCTTTAAAAGGGAGAGGAAAATACTTCTTTAGAATCCACTGCAATATGAACCAGAAACCACAGGGATTGCATTGAGAATTACCCTTTGTGTAAACAAAAGTGGGTATCTGGATTAAGAGCCCCAGTTCTTGTCGTCAGTATTGATGCCCTGGATTCTTTCAACAGGGAGATGTGATTCATGGATAAATGAACTACTGTCAGTTACTTACTATAGTCATCTAGACCATGTATGCTAGATCTAAAAGAAAACTCCTTTGCAATCAATGCACATGCTCTTTGTAGTTTTTTAGTTTTAATCAGTCTACAGGATGGTGTTTCAGAATTTATTTCAGCCACCTTTAGACAGAGTATTTAAGTAATTTCTCCACTTAGGAGAAAATAAAATTATTTAGGTGGAACAGTCAATATTGTGGATGCCACTGTAAGCATGCAAACAAGAACTTGTTCAGTTTTCCATTGGAGACAACTGGCTGCTACAGTAATACAGCAATGTTCACTTTGGAAACAAGTGCCCTCTTGTGGCAGTTATGTAAATAAACCACAATGCTATTTCTATTACTCTACCATTCCGTGTGCAGTACTGTACTGTTATTGTAATGCTTTTACTAAGTCTTCCTTTTGAGAGTGGTAAATTTACTTCAATAGGTCAGTTAATTTTTTGCATGCCATCACAGAAGCAGTTTCAGAAATTAAGTATGATCAGCAGAAAACAACAGACTTGAATGTCCATCAAAAGCCTCAATCCAGCCAGCCTGAAACTGTACTGTCAAAATGCCACTTTTTCAATTTTTAATTGAAGGCATGGGAAAGCTAAGTTTCACTTAGGCATTGTAAAGATATGTTTTTTCCCAAGACATATTATCTGTTTATTATAGCTTGTTTATAGTAGTTATGTTGCTGTTGACAGGAAATAGATTAAAATTAATTTGTTGATTGTTTTTTGAAGGGCAACTTCTAGCTCAAACACTCCTGCCATGCCAGGACAAAGCCACACACTCCTAGTACAAAGGAGTATTTGTGATACTGCATGCTGTGTTTAAGTCACAGACCTTGATGCAATAGATTTTTAAATGACCATCATTTACACAACGTTTACAAGGCTTTTCAAAGTAAGTCCAGATCTGAATGATAGTACTATCAACCCAATGATGTCTTGAAAATAGAGAACGTGTCTTTACAATTTGCATCCTCTCGTTGTTCCTCAGGATGAATTTTTTTTAACTTTTCCTCCAGAATTTCCCCTGACATTTCAGGCGGGGAAGCATTTTTGTAAGGCATGCTACTGCAGACCCTTGTAATATACAGTAGATGCCTCAGTATTCAATATATAACTCCATTATGTTGATGTTTTCCCCACTTCACATCTATTTAAGGTTAAATGAGTGGTGGTGCCAGTGTGTTCCCAAGCTAGCGCGTTCCTCTATGAAAGAAACACGTCTCAGGATTGCATCAAACAGAACTCTTGACCCAGTTCCTGAATGCATTCCTGAGCACTGTGAAAGAACATTCCATTGGATTCTCGGGAATAATAAGGGCAGTAGCTACATAAGTGTGTAAAAGTCTCCATGGCTACGTGAGTCTGCATTTGATCTGTGTTTTTCATTCCAGCATCACGAAGGACAAGGGCTTCCCGATTTTATCCTCCCCAGGATAAAAGCCGTACGAAGCAATTGTATGTGAATGATGGTAAAATATAGCTGCAGTGATGATCCCCTCCAGCTAAATCTGTATCCTCCCCACGGAAATAGAGCGATCTTTATCGTTTGTCCCTGAGGCATTTAGTTTAGCCGCGGAGAGGTGTGCCAAAAAGCCCTTATTAAGGACTGTGCCCGTATGCATGCTATCTATTGGTGGATCATGAAGATTGCATGTTGGTTTGTAACACTGGTGTATTTGCTGTGGGGACCACACCTCTGCTATCTCCATTGCTTTGACAACATATTTTTAGTTTGGATTTCTCACACTTTCCTAATAGGGGCTGACAACTGCTTTAGTTTAGTGCCCATATCAGACCGCAGCCCTGCAAGCCGGCTTCAGTAGAGAATAGTGCATTGTGCCCTGCAAATAGTACGTGTTTGCCTTGCCCTTTTTAAAGGTCATTACTATAGGCCTTTTTTAAAAAAAAAACATTTTCTGGACTAAGTATCCTAAGACATATTTCGTTGCGAAAATCTAAGCTGGAATTCTTTCCCATGTCGTATTTCAGTGTGTGTCTTCGTTCGTATTGCACGGTAAACTGTTTTGCACATCATCGAGAAAGACCCAGGAAACATCCTTTCACGTTTTCCCTTTCACAGTGGAGGGGAATTCAGATGCTTGGCTGTAAAGAAGTCATTCAAGCTTCGGGTGGTCACAATGGTCACAGTGTATAGCACTGAATTTCATTCTTGCTTTGTCATATGTAAACATCGCTGTACAAATTTTGTAAAGTGAAAATGCACCTTCTTAATGTTTTTCTCTGTGTTTTTGGCTTACTTAACATAAACATGACTTAGGTGATTTAAGAACATGATGGATCAGACATTCTGTGGTTAACCACATTTGCAGGTGAATTTGTTTATTAGAAGTCAGACATTCCCCTGGATGTATGTAGTTCTCACACACGCAAACACGTTTTATTTGTTTTGATTCTCGTAGGTATTACATGAAGGAATCCAAAGGCAGTAAACGGTGGTTGATGTTTCTGGAAGGTAAGTGGATTGGAATTTATTGTGGTATGAAGGGGACTACCTCTTTTGGAGCTCAACACGTTACCTGTTTCAATTGCTTTATCTTCGTTTCTTCGAGAGCCAGCTTTCCATGTTGAGCCACGTATTGCTAAAACACAAAAAGTGATTTCTTTTTTCATGCATTTGAAATATTTTGCATTTAAATGAGCATAGAGTTGGAAAATTGTTGTCGTAGCATAGGCAAAAAGCTTCATATGAGCAAGTGAGTATTTTAATATTTGTTCTAATTATTTTATACATTCAGAGTCAAAAATATTTTTCTTATTACCATCATCAATGATATTTCTTTTTCTCGGAGCATAGTTCAAAATAACTGCCACATGGCAAAACGTGCCAGGCGATTTTATTTCTGAAGAGCAGCCCGACAAATTGTGCATATACCCATACTCGGCTTGTGGCTGCGAACCCAACTTCCGCACACGGGGAAGAATCGGGATGTGTGAGCAGACTCCTCCGACCCCCCACCCCCTCTGATCCAGCCCGTTCCAGTTCATGGGTGCTGATTGGAGGAGATGGATGTCCCTCACTGATAGCGCCGCGCGCCTGCAGTCAGGCAGCCTTGAACACTAGAGTTTAGCCTTTATGAGTTGGGCCACTTGGGAGACCCCAGAGTCACCTGTTATTATTATGTTTCTTATACACCCCATCAACTGTTATTTAACCTCAACTTTCTGGCTAACCTTTACTCTTGTATCCTCTTGAGATCAAGTGAGACTCATAGACATGTTCTGCTGACATTCTCACCTGCCCAACCTATGTCACTCAACCCACTTCAAGCGTCACAGTGCCTGACTGGAGAGCTAGGGATGACTGGAGAGTGCTGTGTCTCTCACTGCAGTCCTGAAGGCATTTGGCAAAACTGCAAGTTGCTAGTAGCTGGGAAGCCAGCAAAGCCTTTTATTCAAGGCAGCATATCAGCATGTTGTTCACCTCTACTTGGTGACTTCTATGAGTCACAGCCGGCTATCGATATGATCCAACTGATGATGTCTGGACCACAGAGTCTAACCTGTGCTCCAAGTGAGTGCCTATACTGTTTGACCCCAAAGAGAGCCCCGAATTACCCTCTTCTCAAATTCAGCATTCAACTGCAGGCGCAGTTGAATCGAACATCGTCTTACCCGCCTGATGCGGATTTAAACCCGGTTACCCTAACTTTTCTGTTCAGTAGATACAGAGTGTCCCTAGCAAATAAAACTGCCAGGAAGTTCTGGCTGTCGAATTTAAGGAAGTGCGGTGGGTGAGAATTGTAATTTAACGCAAAGTGACTGAGGTAGGATGCTGTTAAACCGGCTCATGTACTTTAACAGGTGGCTGGTACTGTTTTAATAAGGAAAACTGCGACAGCAGGTATGAGACCATGAGGAGGCTCATGAGTTCAGCCAAATGGCCAAGGACCAAGACAGGTGAGTCCAAAGCTTAAATTTCTATGTGCTTGTATTAGTATTCTCTCACTGCTTTTTTTATATTGAACTCACCAATTTCAAAAGAGCAGCTTAGGTCTTTCAAAATACTCTTGGTAGTTATTTTCATGTCGCAGAGTTCAGCAGTGGCAGGTCTGAGAGCACCCACAGCCTTGCCAATTTAAAAGCAAGAGTTTTATCAGCTTACTTTACTTTCCTCAGGTCACTTCAGCAGTCAGCCTAATGCAGCTATCTCTTTCTCAGATCAAGCAGATATGTATTGCAGACCTGTTTCTGAATACCGTAGTGCTAGCTGTTTGTACTGACTTATTTGGCTGAAGCTTTGATCTAAAGCATCATACATTTACACCCTTTTGTACAGATGGGTATTTTACTGGTGAAATTTAGAGTAAGATATAATTGCTCAGGGGTGCAACCACAGAAGCCCAGCTGGGATTTGAACCAACGACTTTCTAGTTAGGGGCTCAGAGCCTCTAACCACGGCTCCACTTTTGACATAACATTTTTCTCCTCCGGGTCGCAGTGCTCTTATTGGGATTTAGCTCAGCAAGGGCTTGAAGTGTTGCAAGACAACTTTGAAGTTTGTTTTCAGAGGAAGTAGGCCGGGGAGGGGGGATACTTTCGCACAAGAACAGCAGGGTAAATGAGCAGACAGTGATGGGAAAGGTTATCCTCCTCAAAGGCCATCCCCTTTTTTATCATGCAAGACACATAATATAATTTTGGATTGCATTGTCCATTAAATTAATCCGCTTTACAGTTTCTGAACAACTGTGAAACGGAAATCCATAAAAATTGTTTCTAATTCACACACATTACGCTGAGGTTTCTTTTTTGGGACAACTGGAGTTCTAAAAAAATGAACAGGCCGACTACGCCCTGGCAGTATATAATACAGAGCTGTGTGACACCTGTTATTTTAAGACGGGGGAAAACACCTAGCTCTTAAAAGGGATAATGACTGTTATTTATGCTTTGATTAAAAAGATTGGGATCTTCCAGATGATGGATGATTCCCTTTGAAATGACTCGCTGCTGATGGCTCTGTGTTAACTTTAAAGGAACTGGAATTCTATCCCCTCAACCGGAAGAGAACCCCCACTGGTGGAACGCTAACATGGTGTAAGTTCCCATCAGTAACCGTAATGCTCCTTTGTCACTTTTTTGTGTTCTAACCACTACTGTAGCTTACTGGCACTGCAGCTGGAAGGGATGTTTTCGCCCGGCTGTCATTCCACTTGCTGCCCAGAGGCCCTAAAGGAAGGCAGCTGGTGATTACACTCAAGGATTCTGTCTTAAGAGCTCTCTGAACACTTTATTACCCCTGTATTATCGGTGTACTTCAATTGTCAGTCTCTAATAACGCAAGTGATAATGAACGAGGCAGCATTATGTCCTGTATAAATACGCGAGCAGCTTTCTTAGATGGAGTGGGTTGCAGGCTTGTGTCATATCAGCCTTCTGTCCCTAAGAGCTGCCTTCTATCCTGACCTAACACAATTTGTTAGATCAGCAGAGAAACATTTTTAACAAACCGTTTTTGAAAGGGAAAGTGAAGTGGTGCTTAAACACTAACTCGCTCTGCTCTGTAATGTAACTTATGAATTGCCTGCATGTACAAAGACATTGGGATTTCGTGACATTCTCCCTAAATTCATTATTTACAGGGTAACCAGTGTAAAGCAAACCTTGCAGATCTGTAGTGTTAAGCTTTTATATGGCGTAGGGACATTTGCAAAGGAATAAAGATTATAGTAATCAATATTGTATAAACCAAGGAATTATCCTGGTCCTGGAGAGCCTCAGTTCAGAAATTTGTAGTTAACCATTAATATCTGAAGACCAGGATCCATTAATCCTGTGATTTATTAGATTAAGTAGTTTTAGAGATCATTTGGAAAAAAGCAGTATACACTACGGCTGGAGAGGATACGAGTTGCCTTAGTATAACAAATTATGTGCTTAATTGAACAATAACTTCAAAGGTTTCCTGACGTTTTTTTAAGAGAGGCTGATTACAGTGGCTTATCAGACTAACTGGACTGGGGTTCTCCAGGACCAGGGCTTGAAATCCCTGGTTTAGACAGTAATCAGGCTCATGTAAGGAAGCTAAATACCATGGCTGCTGCAATGTAGACGGTTTCCTACACTGTGTAACATAAACATGCCTGTGTTGCAGTCAGGGACAGTTAACCTGTGTTCTTTTGGAGCTACTGAGTCAGCCAGTGCCGTGGGGTCATTCACAGTGTTTCAAACAGCCCAGGTGTAATGAACGGGCCTCGGGAGTTGTTCCCTGGATAGGGCCTTTTTTTCCACGTTTGATATTCAAACAAGACCGCTAGAGGCTTTGGTCTCGAAAAGCAAATCCCTGTTTTGGAAGCTTTTATTTCTTTTGGACTTGCATGAATTAGAGCAGGCGCCGGTGTGCAGTTCTCCAGTTACACTTTGATGATTTGTGTTGATTCTGCCACGGGATGCCTCTCAAAGCAGATTTGGCTCGCCCTGTTGAAGCTTATTAATCGCCGGCAAGGCAAGATGAATGACTTCAGACCTAGCCTTCAGAATTTTGTTTATGCATGTGAATTAAAGGGTGGCTGCACAGCTTTCCTGTACCATGCAGTCTCTCAGAAGAAAGAAATACAGAGCAAAATACTCAGAAGTAAAACTTTTCTTGTTCTTGTAATGAGTGCCATGCCACACCATGTTCCACCATGCTTTCACGCTGCTTGTTTCATGCTTTACAATATCTCTCTCTGCCATCAGTTCACCAAGGTTTTACTTCACTTTACTTTTTATAAAGGAGTCGTTAGGTTTAAATTGTAGATCCACCGTGCTTTAAAACTGGCAGATCCGGTCGAAGGTTTATGTCTGCCTGTGTCTTCCATGTGCTCATGCGGTTTTTGATCTTTAAGGTACCAGGCAAAGCCTTTCGAATCGTGAAATCCACACTGTTTGGAATTTTCTGTGTGCAGACTCTCCCCCATCCACACTCACTCCCATGTATTTTTAATTCATCTTCACAGAAGGAGATATTTAGCTTGTAGTTCCTTCTCGGTGTTTTATAAACACGTGGTTCTTAAGAAAGCATGGGGTTTCTTGTGGATGTGTGGTTTCTTCAGTTGTGATGGTGATTTGACTGATTGAAAACATCAAAGGAGAGATATGCAGGGCAGGATGAAAGCTGGGTCAATAAATGGGCTTTAAGAGCATAAATCCTTCTAACAGCAGTGGTTACTTAGAAGAACAGAAGAAAATGTTTAGATTAGAGGAGGCCTTTATGTCCATTTTGCTCATGTGGTTTGCTAGCATCTTAGAAATCCAAAGACATTATGAAGACAGTTCCTGAAGGTTCTCCTTCACCATCTACAGGATAACTTGACTGTCTGTTTCACACACCCACCATTAGTGAGAATCTGCACCTCCTACTTTTAAGCTTTTCCTTTAAGTGGAGTCAATTTCCAGGTGATGTCTCTGTGTTGATGTTAAAGCAAAGTTCTTGACCAAGAACAATGTATTTGCATATTTATATTTCAGATATATTTAATTTAATCTATATTATGTTAGCCTTACCATATAATATCAATATGTAGTGTTTGTTACTCTTGTATGGTAAGAGTTCGAAATATCTGAGAACACGTAACGCTCATTGTACATTCTTTTAAATTTTAGGTTTATTCCATACTGCTCCAGTGATGTTTGGAGTGGAGCTTCTACCAAGACAAACAAAAGTAAGTTTCACTTCACTTTCTTTAGCCTAAAGTGATGCGTGATGATGAGATCGTAAACTTACTAATTATTCCCCCTGTTATTACTAGTAAGAAATTAAAGTCAGAACAAAAATGCATTATAGTCTCCTCCTCTTTCAAATGTACAGTATATCACAAAAACCTCCATGAGTGATGTATACATGGTGACCCACTGGGTAGGGGTTCTGGTCCAGGGTTCGACTCGGGCTCTGTCTTTATACTCGGTCCAGCATGTTCTCCCTTTGTATGATGGGAGTTCCCTCGGCTCTGATACCTCCAACGGATGGCTCGCTCAGCCCCTGCAAACTGTTTCCTTGTGGCACAGCACAGGCTCTAGGCTCTGCAAGGTTTTGACGGATTTGCACCGTTAAGTATTTCCGAACCATTCATATTCTAGCAGGATCACCTAGATCACTGTGGTGATACTAGAGCATTTATCAGATCTGACAGGACCACCTTCACTGTGAAGCACTGAAAACTGCCTTTGGCCTGTTGTTGGGTATGGACTGGGCTTGCTCACAGAGCTTCTGTGTGTTCTCCGACAGGTGACTATGCCTTTATGGGAGCTCTGATCATCAGGGAAGTAGTGAAGGAGCTGCTCACTAAAGGGCTTGACAATGCCAAAGTCCTCCTACTAGCAGGTAGCAGGTGAGTAGAGACCCTTCTCCGTCTTTGCTACATTATGTTTTACAGGCACAAGGTACAGCGTCTTATAAAGGCACAATGGGCCACGTCTGAGTCCAATGCTTCACACAAGTTTTTGTGTTTTTTTAACCAATGGCAGTGCTGTGTGTGGCTTTGTACCAGTGGCTTTGATGTGTGTGTGTTTTCATAAGTATCACATTTCTATATGTGGTTTTTAACCACTAAAAATGCTTTGAATGTTTTTGATCACAGCAACACTGCATGTTTGTAACCAGTAAGAATGCAGTATGTGTTTTCTAACCATTGACACAGCTGTGTGTGTTTTTAACCAGTGACTGGTGGGTTTCTTAACATGTGGGCCTAGTCTCCTTTTTCTGACTGGAAGTGTTTGCAGATTTATTTCAATATTCTGTGCAATTTTCCTTCATTCACTCCAGCAGTGTTGCCGTGTGATTTTGATGGGCTGTAGGTGTGCTTATTAGACCTCTTACATTTTTGTTGTGCTCGTGGCTTAGCTCTGTCTGTGTTTGACTAACCCCTGGTTTGTTTGACTTTGAACTGTGTTTTCTCTGTGTGAGTTTTTGGACCATTCCCCCTGAGCTTGTGAGAAATGGTTTACCTCATAGTTTTTTTGCTGTATGTGCATTTCAGAAATCCATTGGCTTTGTGGGATTTTAACTGGGAATCTTGCCCATTTATACAAGAAGCTTTGATGCAGTTTGTGCTCATCTAATGTCTCTGTTGTGTGATGATAAATTGCACTCCTGCTGTTTCTGTGTGCTTAACCCTTTGGTCTTACTCATCTTGAAGCCATATATGGTATAACCTGTTGTGTAGCCAATGTCTGCATTGACCTGTCTCTCACCTATGGTTCAGTGCCGGTGGAACAGGGGTGCTCCTGAACGTGGATCGTGTAGCAGAACAGCTAGAGGAACTGGGACATCATGGGATCCAGGTGCGAGGGCTGTCTGATTCTGGCTGGTTTCTGGACAACAAGCAGTACCGCTGTACAGACTGTATCGACACCATCAGCTGCGCACCCACCGAAGCCATCAAGAGAGGCATCAAGTAAGCCATCGCTCAGCTGGTCGAACTCAGAGCATCTGTGCTCAGTCATGCTGGTAGACTTTGGAATGAATTTGACTCTGGGTCAGATCGTCTTGATCTTGTTATTTGATTGCTCTTGGCAAAAACAACAACAACAGCAGCAACAACATTCTCTTCATGGGGAGAGTTAGGATGAGGAAGAAAAGCTTCTCTGACCCACTCTTCAAAGCCAGTCCTGATTTTCCTTGCCTCAGTCTCCAAAGCGCTTGACAGGAGAGTTAAAACTGATTGGAAGAGAGGTGATGATGTTGCTGCAAGCTTGCAGATGTCTAGGAATGTCTAGGAAGTTGCAGGAGCTAAGAGAGATTTCTCTATTTTTTGTTTTGGGTCCGTACTGCATCTTTTTACAACAAGTGCATGTATATGAAACAGGGATAATTCAAGAAGTAGCTTGGAAGAACATGGTTTGATGAGGTCCTAGGTCTCAGTATGACATGGTAGCAATCAAAAGAGTAATGTTGGCCAAAGTGGCATTCTCCCATTTAGAATCTCCCATTTACAAGTTGTTGTGAATGAAAACAGAACATTTGATTCACCTGGCTGCCATAAGTTGATCTGGGAGGAGATCTTCATGGATTCATCCTAATATCCCCACTGTTTTTCTCCGTCTTCCAGGTACTGGAATGGAATAGTTCCAGAACGCTGTAGGCAACAGTTCCGAGATGGAGAGGAGTGGAACTGCTTCTTCGGATATAAAGTCTACCCAACCTTAAAAAGTAAGAACAGTGTTCTTTTGGAGGCCCGTCAAAAGAGGTGAAGTCTTGCCAACTGAATGGCTCTGGTCCTCGGTGTTCTCTAGGTGGATGTACAGGCTTTGGGTCATGTTGGTGATGTTCGTTGGAAATGTGGGAGTGAGTTATTTGGTTACCTTAGGTGATGTTTTCTGAAGAAAAGCTGCTGTGACTCTATCGATAACCAGAACTCTGTGGGCAGAAATAAAATAAAAGACTCGTTCACCTAACAAGGGTGGAAAGGAAAAATGGAAGAGTCAAGCCAGAGGACAAACAATTGGAAACTACAGGAAAGTGCATTTACAAATGACAACAGGAGGCAGTGTTTTATGCAAAGTTTGTTGGAACTACTATCCTGATATTTCAAGAAACGTTTGATGAGATTCTCAGAGTAATTAGCTAGTAGCAACTTAATAAGCTAGATGAGGGTGCTGAATATCCTCCTATCATTTTTTAATATTTCTTACATTCTCATGTCCTCACATGTTAAGGATTTATTTGGAGATTCTATTCAAATACAAGGCTATTTTGTAATTACACTGGGAATTTCTCCATGATTGCATAATTACAAACACCTGAAAACTAATGCGCAGAAAACAAAAGTATAAGAACTCTTTCTTTGATCTTTTTGAACTCATCCAGGATGGGACTAACAGTCTCATGCAGTGCTAATGCTCACTCCCTGAGAACCTCCATTAAAAACCTAGATTTAGCTGTGTTCACTTTTCAGCTTAGCATGCTTGGTGTGGATGACCACCTACTATTATCTTCAGGTGTTGATGAAGTTACGTTTGTATTCTCCCCTGCAGGTCCTGTGTTTGTGGTTCAGTGGCTGTTTGACGAAGCTCAGCTTACAGTGGACAACATTCACCTGACTGGCCAGCCCGTGCAGGAGGGACAATGGCGATACATTCAGAATCTGGGCAACGAGCTGAGGAACACCCTCAAGGATGTCCCGTAAGCATCGTCCCTTATGTATGAATTTAGCTTGTCAAAGTAAGTCACTTGAGCTCCCCCTGTGTTCCCTGTTGGAAATGCACAGCTCAACCATCTCAGCGTGCAAGTTGATATTCCAGACTCAAACCCAGTGAGGCTCTTGCGGTGTTTTGCGATGACACCCACTTTTTCAACCCTGGTCCCAGTGAGAGGATGTTGCAGGACAGAATTTAGCCCTGCTATTCCCCTGCACTGTTTCCACACTTCCTTTCTTACTGATGGTTGGACACATTGTAGGGATGAGCGCCTTTAAATTCAGACACGGAGTTGCATCTTAATCAGGTCTTTTCACCGGAGAGTTTTGTTCACCTCAGGTCTGTTTCAATTGTTTAAATGTTTTTGTTGTCTTCCTTTAGTAACTTGCCTTTCATTTTCATTTCCAGCGCAATGTTTGCTCCTGCCTGTCTATCACATGAAATTATTACAAGAAGGTGAGTGAACAAATGACTTATTTCCAGAACTACAGAGCAGAGACTCACTTTATTATTTAAAAATCATTATTTTAACAAAGTGGTTCACTCAATTTCACCCACAGTTTGTAAAAACTAAACCCAGGTCTTTCACTGACTTTTACTAATCTAGGCCCACTGTATCCAACACTGGAGACTCTTACCTGCAGGAGCCCTTGAAAGCCATTGTCAAATGTTTCAGGCTTTCTAAAGTCCTTGTCATAGAAAAAAAGATTTCCAGATCCTTAGAAAATGTCATTCTCATTGCTTAGTTAAGCAAACTCGTCTTTGGTGTTAAAGCTTTGGGGAATCTGGCCATCCACAATGTGTGCTACGAGAGCAAAAACAAGCTTACAATTGAGAGGAGCCCATTCAGCCCATTTGGTCAGTCAGTAGCTAATTTATCCAAGGATCTCATGCAGTTGTTCCCTGAAAGAAGCCAGGGTATCAGCTTCAGCAACAGGACTACGTAGCCTCTTCTGTAGTCGCACACCACTTTGTGTAAAGTGGTGTCTCTCATTGTAGGTTTTAAATGGGCGTCCCCAACAGCTAACTCCAATGCCTCAGGCTCAGTACACCTCTGCGCTAGGCACTCTTTGCTTGGTCTACTTGTTCCCCAACATATTCATTGTGTCTGTTGTTATGATTTACGATGGTTGGAATGTGCGGTCTACGTCGTGTGGTGTTGTCTGTCGTACTGTGTGCGTCCCAAGAGATCGGCGCGAATAAGAACTCCCGTGGAAACTCGGCTGTAAGCTCCTCTACTTCTACACCCCTATGTCTGCTTCCACGTAGCTTCGGCTTGTGCCTTCCGGTTTCCGCTCGTGCTCGTGTGTGTGCGAGTCTGTGAATCTCACGCGGACGTTTCCCCTTCGCCTGTTGCAGTTACTGGATGGACATCCAGGTGAAGGGCACCTCCCTGCCCCGGGCGCTGCACTGCTGGGACCGCAGTCTCCACGAGAACAGCAAGAACAACAAGAGCCCGCCCAAGGGCTGTGCCATCCACCTGATTGACAACTGTCCCTGGCCGCACTGCAACCCCACCTGCCCCACCATCCGCGACCAGTTCACCGGCCAGGAAATGAACGTCTTTCAGTTCCTGATGCACATGGGCTTCGATGTGCAGAAGATGGCGCAGCAGCAAGGCATGGAACCCGGCAAGCTCTTGGGCATGCTCAGTAGCGGCAGCTAAGCTCACAGCCCACTTTATATACACCAGTGACTTGTTTCCCGCAAAATTGGGGTCAGGAAACCCCCCCCCCTCATGTTCTGCCCCTCTGCACCCTAGTCCCACAAATCACCCTTTCCCAGCTATGCAGGAAGCAGTTCACCTTGCCTGCTGCAGCACCTGCAGCTGTCCTTCAAGCAGAAATTCAAGGCAAAGAAACGCCAAGAGCAACTTCTGGAATGCAACACGACAAAAATGCATCCTCCTCTGCTTATTTTTGTCATTAAATTATCTTTTGGTTGTAAAAGAAAATATTACGAACGTAATCCCGTTTTAAGGATACTCCATTTTTTTTTGTCTTCGTTGTTCTTGTTCGTCATTTCTAGTAAAAGAAAGAGATCCCTAGCCATTGCTGAGAGACTAGGATGTTCAATTTTAAAATTACAGACACAAAAAAAAAGAACAGAATCAGGGTCCACAGCAAGAAGCGGACCAAGTTTTTTTTTTTTTTTTTTATTCTTCGGACTTCGTTTTTCCTTTCATGATCCGACTCACGCAGACAAGCTTGGTTGGTAAAGCACTGGAGCATCCATCCTTTTTTAATCCAGGGAAGATGGGACTAGAGGGCCTGTGACTCCATCAATTGGGAATTAGACAAACTGGAACTTTGAGGAGAGGTCGATTCTGCTCAGAACCACTCCGGACCTGACGACCTTCATGAAACACACACACAAACTTGCAACCAAACCTGTAGACATCTATGTCGCTGTGGACATAACGGCAGAAATGACACACCTTCCCGACTTTAATGCAGAACGTTTCTTATTGTACCAGCAAATTTTTCCACTTTAGTCCTCTGTGCTGTTAGCCTAATGAAAAGAAGTAAATGTTTACGTCTTTACGTTATGGCTGAATGGAACGTGTTCTGAGTGCCTTACCAAATGTAAGAAGAGTTCACACCATTTTGCTCTTTCTTGTTGTTAGTCACGGTGTCTACCTCCAATGCAGTGATTTCCTGGGCTCTGTTGGGTGAGAATGTTAAAATCTGTGAGTTGGTGCTGCTGTTTGAAAACATTTGAATGAATTTAGGACCCGAGCAACATGTGATGAGGAATGGATGGAGACAGAAGTTGTTTGGGCAACCGGTTTGATCCACAGGACCAGTTTCAAAGTGCTTGGCTAGAAAAAAACACAGCAGCTAAATATGCATTGATATCCACTCAGCCAAAACCAAAGCAAAACGTTTAATTGTAGTCCATCTATCCACCCATATTCTAACTGCCTTAACTAATTCAGGGTCGTAGGGGAGCCAGAGCCTATTCTGGCAAGCAGTGGGCACAAGGCAGGATCCACCCTGGATGGGACTCCAGACCATCTCAGGGCAGACACACAGATATGCACTCACACCAGCGCCAGTTTTCCCAGAAGGCAATTAACTTACCAGTATGTCTTCAGACTGTGGGAGGACACTGCAGCACCCGAGGGAAACAAAAATAGAACACATAGACAGTAGCCTGGGAGTTGAACCCAGGGTCCCAGCGCTGCAAGGCAGCAATGGCTTTCATTGTAATATTTTAATTAAATAGTATTTCTTAGTATAATTGAGATATCTCACATACACGCCTATCAGCTAGTATTAAAGCTATCTATTAAACTGATTGATTAAGCTTTATTAATCAGATGCATTATTCTGAATGTCAAAGTAAGATGACGCTGTGGTAGTAGAGCACTTTGGGTTTTACTCACCCATGGTGTTGTTCCAATTCTCCTAATTCCTCCCATGTTTCTGTACAGTAGAGTCTGAAGCTGCTGAACTCAGACTCTTTTTAACTGTACCAAACTAACCAGCATTCAGAAAACCTAGTCATTCACATCCAAACTAGGGCGATTCTGCTTTTAAACAACTCTGAACCAAACCAAACTTTTCTTTCAATGACACGCTTCAGATGAAAGTTTTGTAAATCTGGAGCAAAAATGCTGTTTCCACATTTGTTAAAAGCTCCAAAGCACTAACAGAGCAACACAAAGCTATGGGATTCATTTTGTGCTTAGTCTTCAAGATGATAAATATTTTTTTGCTGTAGGATCAGTCATTATAAAATGGGTATTCACAGCAGCTCAGTCAAAGTGGCCTTGGGAATTTTTCTGTATTTCTACTGCACAAAGAAAACCCAAATAACCTGCCTTTAAAGAACATTTCGATTCCTGCCTCTTTTTATTGCCATCTACTTTTTAATTTTATAGAGAAATTGGAAGATTGATTTCAATTGTATTCCAGTTAGATTTCTCTTTCACCAGGTGTGTACGTTAGGTTTTGAAGTGCTTTAGAGCCCACTGTATAAACAAACAGCCTAGACTCAGACTGGAGCGCGTCATTCGCACGGTGCACGTTTCCTCAGTACACAAACAAATGAAGACACGCTGGACTTTTTTTTTATAACAAAAACTATATGAAATAAAAAACTGCTCTACACAAATGTTGGTTGACATTACGTTTTATAAATAAAAAAAAATACTTCATATCAACCAGGAAAAATGGTTATTATTGTATTATGTCCTGTAACATATTTTTTTAACAGAACTCAAGCTACTTTGGTAATGATACATATTTATTTTATTATGTAAATCATATTTATAAGTGCTATTCAGACAGAGAAGTGATTCTTTGTAAATTGTAAATATTCTTTTTTTTTGGTTTTGTTTTTTCTGTTTTAACCGCATGTCTTTGTAACAGATCTAAAGAAAGGAAACATTATTATGGCAAACAGACTCGCTGTGTTCTTTCTGAACCTTTCTGGTCGGGTTTGGGATGTCAAGCTTGCAAATGCAGTTGAAACTTGGGACTTGGAGAAAGAAAAAAACAGGTTAAATATGTTTATGTTCATGCTCTCAAAATCTCTGACTGGTCACAGTCCCAGCACACAGGAATACAGAACGGATGGCAAAACCTGAAACTGTACACAGTGCTTTAGCCTTGATTGTTGTTCATAGAGAGCTCATGAAATCAAACATGCACACATGCAATCGGTGCACATACAATTGGAACCATCGATATGAATAGAAGCTTGGGACACAACAGATGGCAATAAGATTGCTGACATTAACCAGTGCATGCTTGTGGTATGGCATCTCCACAAACCCAGCTGACATAGCACTCTCTGGAGTGCCCGCGTATTACCCATGAGATCGAGTGGCCTTTGGTAGCTGTTCTGTGTATAGTATATAAGCTGTGAAGAGTGTCCAGATTTCCTCCTCAATATTGTCTGAAATTCTACATGAACAAAATACACGGCAGGCCATTGTGTGCACAAGTGTGCCCTTTCTTCAGGTGTGTGCCATGGATTTGCAAAGTCACATACAAGGACGTGGCTGAGGATCTAGTTAATAATTAATGCTGGCATCAAAGCTGTTTTATAATTATGCTTAATCCAGGAATGACATATCTTTATACAAAAATATGAAGCAGCAAGTATCCCAACAAAAGTTTGGCCTTTTACCGGTAACAGTTATACTTGTAATTCCACGAAATAACACACGATGGCGCTACTTCTCCACGAATATCTGACTTCGATCCGCTTAAAAATAGTTCTACAGTAACTTGAGAATTCCAGGCCTAAGTGTTAGTTTTCGTTGCTCAGTTGTTGTTGCCATATAGCATAGAGCAATAGTTAGTGTTGTGTACGTCCAAATAACTCTACTGCTTCCAGAAAACAAATCACTTTGTTTTGAGCTTAGAAGGACCAGATGCCTTTTTGCTTAAAGAACACACTCTGTGCTGAAGAAATTAAAGGGACACCAATTTAAAAAAAGATTAAGTGCTTGAAAATATTAACTGTAGTCTGACACTAAGATTTATTTAGAAGTCTGCACTCTACATGCTTACACACCTAAGAAACTGATGTAAGAAGCAATACAAAAATCCTAGATAGGTATCAGAAATCTAGATAGTTTTTTAGAGAACATTGAACTGCCTTCTAAAAATATATATAAAAATGAAAACGAAAAGGACGTTTTTATGTCTTATGAGATTACAGAACAGATTAGTGACAGGCTAACATAAACATAAAATGGCATACAGTATGTTACATTTGACAGCATCTGCAACACAAGCACAGCACCTCTGCTCAGGAACAACACCTTTCTTTAAAAGCAGAAAGCTCATGGTCCCAGAGGAACACAACTCAACACGCTGGTACCTCAGAATCACATGTGGTTGCCCTCCCCATTCCTTTGTTAATATAGATCACTATTTATAGCAGAATTGTGGCCTTTGCCAAGACTGCGCTGGTCTCAGCTGCATTGCTGCTCTTAAATAACTCTCCCCTGACAGTCTCGCCTGCTCAGAGAAAGGGAGAGAGAGAGAGACGTGTCTGTAACACAGAGGCTGGGAGTGGACCGAATATATCTGACCGCAGCAGCAAGGACAAGGATGGTACCGGGCCCTGGGGTCTGAATAGGAAAGAGACACCGCCGCAGCAAGGAAAACCTGTTTCTGATTAAGTCGACGCTGAGGTGGATCCCTGGAGCCCTGCGCTGTGCAAATCTGGAGCATCGCAGCTACGGTTTGGCCATCTTTACTGCGAAAACTCGGAAGACACATAGCATGGAACAATAATACAAGTAAGAAAACACGAAGGAAATACAACATTAACAGCAACAAGTCTAGCCTCCTCTATCATGCTTTGGTGATTCCTCTTTTTAAATTATACGTTGTATATGAAATGAATGTTTAAACTTAATGGAAAATGCTTAAATTGTAAATAAACAGCTTGCCAAAGGTACTGGTTAGATTCTATACTCACTAGGCCTTTCAGTGTGGAAGTTTAATCATCATAAAGGCCTGGAATGTTGTACTTGCATTTACAGTCTGACTTAAAACATAGAGAACGTTATGTTATTTCATGATGAAAAACAAATAATGTAAGCGATTGGTTGCCAGTTCTCCCCCTCGTGATCTGGCTAAAAGACAATTTGGAAAAGAAAATAGATTGGAATAATTCCATAGTACAGTGATTTATATTTGAGCCTTTCCCTATAAAGAGGCACGTTTTCTGCGTCTGTCCTTCAGGGCGGCTCAGACGGAGGGGGCCAGGCATTCGTGTAGGCAAGTGAGGCTGTGCGGCTTTCTCCTCTCCGCCCTCACGTCAGCCCGCGAGCAGGAGGGCCTGGCATGGATCCGCAGGGGGGGCACTACCTGAACATCTCCGCCGTGGCGTCCGCCGTTGGCGTGGCCCGCCTGTGCCAGTTGGCTCTGGGCTGCACCACTCTGAGCCTGGTGGCGCACCAGGCGGGCTACAGCGCCGCCTACGGGACCTTCTGCATGTTCGTGTGGTGCTTCTGCTTCGCCGTGTCCGCGGTGGTCTTCGCGCTGGACTTCACCCGCCTCCACTCCTGCCTGCGCATCTCCTGGGACAACTTCACCATCGCCTTCGCCATGCTGGCCACGCTCATGTACGTGACGGCCTCCGTGGTCTACCCCGTCTACTTCCTGCGCTCCGAGTGCCCGGCCGGCGGCTGCGAGGTGCGCGGCTACCGCATCGGCGTCACCGTCTGCTCCTGCCTCTGCGCCCTGGCGTACGCCGCCGAGGTCCTCCTCACCCGGGCCAAGCCGGGCCACGTGGTGGGCTACATGGCCACCGTCTCGGGGCTGCTGAAGATCGTCCAGGCCTTCGTGGCCTGCATCATCTTCGGGGCCCTGGTCAACGACAGCCAGTACGGCCGCCACATCGCCACGCAGTACTGCGTGGCGGTCTACAGCTTCTGCTTTGCCGTGACGGTCATCGTGGTGGGCGTGACGGTCTCCGGGCGGACGTCGGCGCTCCGGTGCCCGTTTGACCGGTTTGTGGTGATCTACACCTTCCTGGCAGTCCTGCTGTACGTGAGCGCCGCCGTGATCTGGCCCGTGTTCTGCTTCGACAAGAAGTACGGCCAGCCCAGCCGGCCTTCCGGCTGCCCCCGGGGGAAGTGCCCCTGGGACAGCCAGCTGGTGGTGGCCATCTTCACCTACGCCAACCTCGTCCTGTACATCGCTGACCTGATCTACTCCCAGAGGATCCGGTTCGTCTCCCAGACGCCCTGAGGGGCCCGGCTGCAGCCCCCAGGCTTCAAGCACCTCTCCTTTCTTCATCTGACTGGGAAAAAATAAACCCCTCCTTCCGATCTCCCTATCCCTACCACCTCAGGAGACATCTTTCCCCATCAGGCCTTAACTTGCTCCACCTCACAAAATGCCATTTTCTCTGCAAAATTCTCGTGTGTCTTCTTGGCCTTGTCCTAAGCCCTTCCTCTTGTCTATGTGCCGCTTTTGCCTGAAAGAGCCACTGCAATTGAATTGATTGCTTAGGGTATCGATCTGACAAGAATCACTCAGTCTGAGCCTCTTCTACCTCCTTCTTCCAGGTCCACGAAATCTCATTTTCTTCTCCTTGACTTACATCCAAGCTTTCAAACTGCTTGCTATGTCTCTGCAGTCAGATGGAATCCTGTGATTTCAACAGCAGCATTTATCCATCTTTGGCATTGAGTAGAATCACCTGGAATGATCCCTCCTTCCCCCTTCATTAAAGAGCTATCGCATCTTCCGACACTCAGCTTGAGATAAGAGTTGCTTTCAGCATCCTTGGCATGACTGATGGCAACATCACCCGTTGCGCTGCTTGATCCCCAGGAGAGCAGAATCCGAATCGGCAACAGAAAGCCTCATTCTGTGTTGACAAGTTGATCTTACCGTGTTGATCTCTCAGACTGATGGCAGAAATTCATGTTCACTGTACTTCAGTCAACTTCCTCACTGTTGAGAGAGTAGCCCAGAAAAGCAGAAACTTTTCTTGTCAGATTTGCATTGTGATTGCCTTATTTATTTAACTTATTTTAGCAACAGAGCATAATTAATTTAGTTTTTCCTTCCAAACTGGAAACATGAACTGTAGGATCAAGAAAGCAAAGCCTGTAATGTACTAACTAGACTCTTGTTTTTGTGTCTGCTTCATGATCGCACAGAAATAAGATTCAGTAGTGTCATAAACGACAATGTAACAACTGTTTTGGATGATAGGGCCCAAACCCGTAACAGATGAGTTATTGAAAGCAGTCTTACTTATTTGTGCACACTTATTTTGTTTTCATAACTACAGTATTCTACAGAATTGCTATCAAAACTGAAATATTTTCCATACCAATTCCTGAGCTAAAATCCCCCAGTTTCAGGTTTCTCAATAAAATACGGACATTCATCAAAGTTCTGAAAACACACCCCATTCACACTGAGCTCAAAATTGTGTGTACATTTGCTAATTTGCTCATTTTACCTTCAAAGGAAACAGTTATATGTATGATGAAAGTTCTTTTAAAAAATCAGACTTTTCAATTAGTCCTGTGCAGGGAAAATAGTCTCTCCCTCTTTTTTTTACGAATTCACGTCAACAAGGGTTTGATGAGAATCTGTCCTGGGTTGTGTAGCATTCCTATTATTTATCATCAAGTTAACCTCATTTACCTGATTTACCTATCAAGGGCAATTGAATTTGGAGTCGCCTGTTCAAGGCTGTGTATGAGAAAACATCACAATAATACAGTATTTTATAAATGTTAAACTTGCTTCAGAATTCAGTGCAAGTCATCCGCAGATATTACTTGACTCAGTGAATTTGATGCTGAGCTTTCAGCTTTCAGTAGTACTGTTCAGCTATTTGAACTTACTGGATACATGTAACATTAAAACCTTAGGTGTGTCATTTCTTACGAACAGCCTGGAGTTTTGAAATACTGCACTCATTGCTTTTTGTAATAAACATTTTGCATTTATTGCGTCCCAGTCGATCTCTAGTGCCACGCACCACCGACTTTTCCTTCCTTCCTTGACAGGATCTTCTCTCTTCAACAGCCTTTGTGAGGTGACGGTCGTGGATGTGATTTTAATTGAAGTCCGTAGTGAAATGATGCGGTCTGTAGTTGTTTATTTTTTATTTTTGGCGTTGTTTCTGATCAAAGACGCCAGTGCGACGGACGAGCCCTGGGGTGGTAATCGGTTGAGATAAAATCACAGCCCCGTGTCGCCCGGCTCACCGCTTCGCTCACTCCGTTGTCCTGCCGGGCGCCTAACGAAATGTGACATCCCCGCATCTCTGCGAGGTTTCAGGTCTTCCTGAGCGCACCGCCGGCCTGTCTGCCCTGTCAGCTCGGCGAAACGGGGCTTGCATGTGTTCCAGGGCGTTTCCGTGTTTTTATCGCTGCGGGAGACGCCTGTTAAACCCTATGAAAGGTCTGTTCAACAGCATCTCCTTCCTTGATGGTGGGCACATTGACAATACGCCCAAGTCATGCCACACTTCGCTTCGATCAAAGGGTAAAAAAACTCTGGAAGGAACGTGTGCACAGGCATACAGTAGCTTCCACTCCCAGCTTTTTCAAATTTAAAACCGCACATAACTAAATCCTGGTGTTGAAAACTTTAAGGCGTTGTTAAAAAAATCCCAACAAAAAACAAAAACAGAGATGGCCGAATCTTGCGTGTTTTTTTTATTTTGTTAAATATAAATAACACACAACACAAAGGCCTTCAAGCCGGGTTCCAGGTCTTATAGATGTGCAGCGATCTCCCCACAATGAATGACAAATGTTTTGACTCTTCTCACTTGGAATCTTCCTATCTTTTATTGCTAAAGAAAATGGAAGCTGAAACGAGTTTTAGCAAGTGGTGTATTTCGGAGATCAACATATAAGTGAAGAACTACTGTATTGCCCACTGTAATGAACTACTGTATACATCCGTAGAAGAACTACTGTACTTCAAATTTTAAAAAATCCTCCTTCTCTGCATGACATGAGGTTTATCCTTGTCTTTGATTTCATTAAGTGTAAAAATAGGATCAAAAAGACTTTATAATCCAATACATACTAGTCTTCAGAATCCAGGGACTGGCAGTTTTTAACAGCCTTAACAGCCATCTAACCCTGGAGTTTTGAACTACTGGGCTCTATTTTGTAAGCTCAGTACCTTTTCAGCAGGCTAGCTATGCCAAGAGAATAGATGAAAACAGAAAAGAAAGGCTTAAACTCGGCAAGTGTGATTTGTTTGTCGAAGATGATGGATGTGTGTAAAAACCGTCTTGCTGTGACATTAAGCGTGTATGTTTTCAACTTGGAACTCCACTGTGGCACAAACAATGCATTATTCATGTCGTTCGAAAAACCAATCCAAAGCCCTTTTTTATTCAGACAGATATTTTGTTGTGGCAAAATCGGAGCAAATTATCACAAAATTAATACATTCCACTACACTGCAGTAATAACAACCCTTTCCACACAGGCATTAAATCTTAATCATCTTCCAGTATGTAGTCATTAAAACTAAACAGCAGTGAATACCAAGATTAATTTGCTGTATGTTGTTAACTCAGTAGTCAGCAGATGCAGAATTCACATCTTATAAATTGTTTGTACTGCGCCACAATAATGAATAGAGAAATAAATTCCATTGCCATAACAATAAATAATCACACAACAATAATGCTGTAACCAGAGCTGAATTAAACCTGAAAACAATAATGTCAAACATACACATACAGTATGTATTTTATGCATAAAGTATTTTAGCCAAAGCCTGTTTTCTGTTGCATTGAGAAGGGTAGGTAACTAGCCAGCCTTAGTGTGAAAGACAAAACTTGACAGAAATAAAGACTGTTTTTTTTTTATAGAGAATGTCCTTCTCCAAATGGGTGATTATGATACCATAGGTAGCCAGTATGGTAAAATGTGCAGTGACCAAACAGGGAACAGATTTTAAGATGACTGTTCCATCCATCCATTTTCTCTTTGCTTCATCCAATTTAAGGTCATGGGGCAGCTGGTGCCTATCACTGCAAGCAAAGGGCGACAGGCACGATATACTGTACCTTGAATGGGACACCAGTCCGTTGGAGGGCAAGCTGACAGGTCCCCCTCTTTATCCAAAAGGATAAGGATGCCAGCATGTAGTGGTGCTTAGAGATCTGTAAGTTCTAGAGTCCTGATTGGAGGTCTGTGGGCTTGGATCCCAGGTGGTTCCAACATTCTGGAACAAAGCACCTTGGCGTAATCTGCTTCAGAAAGCACACTTGCGTCAATGAGTTCCATATAGGAAATAGACAACTGTAACTCTGGATAAAATCCTACCATTAAGTATACACTTTAAATGCATGTTGATTCTATTTTCCTGAATCACTTCTAGCACATCATATCCAAGCTATACATATACAGTCATCCTAAAGAAAATGGATAACCACCCACACCTGAATCGCTGATCTTTGCTACTGGTGTAATTATGGTTTTGCTCTGTTTGAGTCTCTTGTAATGTAAGTTAGATGTGGCATCGACAGTATTTTAAAAATTTGACATCACGGTAAAAAAACGTTTATTCTTAAACTTCTGGGTTTGGTAACAGACAGGCAGAGAGGTGAATTAGAAACCTCACAGTCAATGAATGGACACACGAACCAGATTCTTGTGCCCTGCCAGTCTTAAAAAATAATAACAGATACACAATGCAAACAGACAGTTTCAATCGCTATGGGTGTTTTTCCTCATGCTTGTGCAGAATCATGCACCCCTTAATCTGTCCGTGCTTCATATTTCCAGTCCTGGCACTCGACTACTTTTGTGTCTTCTTACTTGTACAGTATGTCTTCCATACCACTGTGTCTGTTTTATAATGTTATGAACAGAACTGAACACGATGCACAAGACCAAGGCTACTCAGCCTGCAGTGTCTACACTACTAACTCCTTAACAGAATCTTGCAACAACAGGATCCTTTATTACCCTGTAAACAATATAGCAATTAAAGGGCTTCTTACATCTAAATTCTGCAGTAGAGTAGACTGGGGGCTGCAAGCTAAGTAGCTCTGCTTTAGACAGTTTTTGGATGGCCTGTCTGCACTCAGAAACATTTTCTGTGATTTATCATAGAACGACAACAAGCCACAGTCTTGTTAAAGCATGATACAAAACATCGGTGTAGAGGTGGTAAATACAATATAAGACTCTGTGTGGAGCTGTTTAGGAATTTATCAGTGCCTTCGGTGTGTCATCTTCTCACTAGCAAATAAAAAAACCCCACTATGATCTTTTTCTGTCTGCAGATAAGTGAAGATATTGTGAATGGAGATACAGATGGCAATAAAACCTCTAGCACACACCCTTCGGCAGATCAAGGCTGAGTAAAAGCTGATCTCTCTGAATGTATAGCATGTCTGAAGTACTGAGAGCTCTCCCTCTCCTTTCTGTGTGCACAGGTGCCAGTCAGATCCAGAAGACAGCTGTCAGAGGATGAAGAACATCTGAAGGAGCTACAGTATATATTTAGATGTGCAGTATGGAAACAATTCCAGAAACGCATGCAATTACATTCAATAAGAAGAGACACTTCTTCATCAGTTCATTTTAATCCAATATGAACTGAGTCATCAGTTAACACAAAAGGCAGCTCTGTGCGTCAGTGCAAACTTATCAGGAGAGAAATGTTCAGCTTGAGCATTACGATCTTTATTAAAGTGTTACTGAGAATGAGTAATGAACTATTTCCGTCAGCCACCAAGATGTCCGGTGCTCGTTTGTACCTTTTGAAGGATATGACTCCTGTTGGAGATTTTGCCATTTAATAACCCATGAAACTGGATCACTTCGTTTTATAAAGAATAAATACAACTGATTGTTCTGCTCACTTGCAGTGCTTCCCGCCACATTTAGGAAGCTGTTTGAAGCATCCATAGGAATGTGGGGGAATTTTACATTCCTTGTTCATGCCATTTATGAGACAGACCTTCAGGTCCAACCCTGGTCCCTTCTGGTGAATTCCTGAGACAGCACAGGTTCCTCGCCGAGTAACTAGGGAGTTGACATTAGAAAGACTACTATGGCTGGAATGTCTCACTTTAAGCTTTAAGACTCTTCTCAGCTGTCAGGAAACTTGACCTTTGGGTTCCAGAGACTCTGGTGCTTTCCCTTCTCAGGGAGCGAATTAAACAAGAAAAAAAAATCCCCAAATCCCTCACACCTGCTGCCTCTCTCCACCTGTAGCTGTGAGAGACGGACATTACTGCCATTTTTGTGTAAAGAGCACTGCTCAGCTGAAAGGGAGAAATGCAGACTGCATCAGTAAATTATTGAACCTAAAACCAATGAGTTAGCAATAGAATCTTTAAGCATCATAGGTGGTGAATTCAATGTCCCCTTTTTGTAGTAATCGTGCTACTTAATTGTTAATTTAATCAGACATGTTAATTGAGAACAAGTTCTCATTTACCAAGATTACCATTTATACTGGATAAATTTTACTGCATTGTATTTACTGTGGTGCATTTTGCTGAAGAAGTCTGAGTGAACCATCTGTATCCAGGAAGAGCGGACCGAAATAGAATAGGTTTCATAGATGAGTACATCTATATGTAGGCAATACGAGCTTTTGATAATTGTGCCTTTCGAAATAAAGCTGAAACTAAAACACGAATCAGAATAGTAAACAGCGTATCAGTGCAGAATCTGAATTCCACAACTGCATTGCCTTTTGGCCCTAAATCAAACGCATTGTTCTTTTCTCTCTCTGATCATGTTTGGGGAGTGTAACCGAGTCAAACGTGTTGAGCAAGAATATGTAGGTCCTCTAATTGTAAAGCTTGTACACCACATTTATTACTTTAAAATCTTGGTAAAGACGGTGTACAAGGGTTTTTAAATACCTAGAAGAAATCCTACGACGTGACCTTTGCTTTTATCTTTTTTTGTGATCTTTAAAGATCTCGAGAATGATGCAATGAGGAGCTGGTTTTACGATCTGCTCCTGTAACTGTGCATTCTGGGTCGGCTTTGCTGTGATTGGCCGGTCATCCTCGAAACTTACAACACATTGGTCCCCGAGCCTGTCACTCAAACCTGATTTCCCGTAACACGTGGGGCCAACATTTAGGAAGCCACGTTGACAAGGTAAATATGTCTTGTTTTATCAGAAGAAAGTAGGTTGAGGGTTGTGAAATTGCTGCCTGTAGGATTTAAGCACTGCTCAGGTAAGTGGTTAAACGAGGGCTGTCTAAAACGTATTCAACCGGCACCAGTTTTCTCCCGGAAATATTTTCAGAATGTGAATCTATACAACAGCAAATGGCATTATGGCATTTATACACTCGAGATTGTAGTACACTATGTCATTTTTGCAGAAGTGTCTCTTTTTTTAAACACTAGTCCGGTATGAAGCCTACCGACGTAAATATTAATAACGGGGCTGCATCATCTAAAAATGTGTGCTCTTTCTGGGGGAAAAAAATCATTGTGACTACAATACGTACAGATCTCGTACTGTAAGAAAAAGAATCGTTTGTACGGATTCGTGTGTTGTATGATGGAGAGATTCCGCGCTTTGCCTGTCGAATACAAGAACGTGATTCGTATTGCTACCGCTGTTTTGCAGGGGTTCGCTGAAATGAGTGTGGGGTTCATTGGAGCGGGCCAGCTGGCCCACGCGCTGGTCAAGGGGTTCACAGCAGCAGGTGAGGCGAGGACCGCTTCCGGAGATGTCCTGTGGGAGTGCTGTTCATTCATTGTGCCATAAACTGATAAATGCATCGCCCTACGGAGACTCGGCCATTGTTTTTAATTTACAATATTAATAAAAGGACTTTATTCCTTCCACCCACCCACAACTTTTCTAACCGCTTTATCTAATAACGGAGTCGGGTGGGAGCCAGCAAGCAATGGGCAAACAAAGGCAGGATACACCCTGGATGGGATGCCAGTCCATCACAGGGCAAACACACACAGACACAGACATGCACACACTATCACACTGGGGCCAGTTTCTCCCAGAAGCTGATTAACCTTGGGAGGAAACCAGAGAACCTGGAAGAAGCTCAAGCGAACATAGAGAGAACCATACAAGCACCTCAGGGTCCCCGTGCTAACCACTGCCCTACATTGCTATTAATAAGAATAATTTGACCAACATTTTTAAGACAGAACAATTTACAGAGATGCCTATTGCCTGATTCCTGACATTGACTATTATTGATCGCTGTTTCAAGAGCTGGCTTTGCTGGGATAGCCTGGGCAAAGTCCCTTGCTCAGTGGCACAGTAGAGCCATCCAGTGATCTGATCAAGAGTCCAGAGCCCTGACCGTTACCCCACATTTCACCCGCCATAAAATGCAGGGCACCTGTTGTCGATTCTGTACTATTTGTTACATCTTATACATTTTACAACCCCTGCAGTGTTAATATGTGGGGCCTCTTCTGAAAATAAATATATGCAAATGTACAATATGTGTTAAGCATTTTAAGAAGGTACTTTAAAAAGGCACCTTTATTATATCTGTGTTTCTTTTATGTAATAATGACACTTGTCTTGTACAGCATATTGTGTTGTAAACAGCTTTAAATGTGTTCTATGGGGTGTCCCTGGAGTCAAATGCTTTTTGGTCTTGCTTCTGTGCCTCGAATCTTTCCTAGGTGTCATTGCCACTCACAAGATCACCGCCAGCTCTCCGGACACAGATCTGCCGACAGTGTCTGGACTGAGGGTAAGGGCCAGGAACGATCGGCCAAAAACGTAGGTGCTGTTGTGTAAAAGAGCAGTAAGCAGAGATGTTGTGAGTCGTTAACTGCAGGGGGGAGCTGCCAGTTTTAGCACAGGGTGGTCATTGGGAAGTTTGTGATGGCATCACAAAACAACAACCCGAATATCTTGTTTTGAAAACAAACATAGACACCTTCCACCCCCCGTACAAAAAAGTTTTCCGATATAAAATGAGAATAGTAGGAAAGCAGTCAATGTTATGTCAACTTAAACTTTCTGGAATACTGTATTAATGGCACAGAAAGTTGTTAATTGGATAGTGTATAAAAATGCACGTGTAATACATCGTTTTTCAGACGCTGAGACTTTCATAATGTTGGTTGATTTTTTTTAAAATGAATTGTGAGTGGCTCCAGACATAATGTATTTAATCCTCCCTGACAGCAGTTTTTTTTCTTTTCTTAAGAAACTGGGGGTAAATTTCACAACCAGTAACAAGGAGACTGTGAACAACAGTGACGTCCTGTTCCTAGCTGTGAAACCCCACATCATCCCCTTCGTCCTGGATGAGATCGGACCGGACATACAACAGAGACACCTGATAGTGTCCTGTGCAGCAGGTGTCACCATCAGCTCGATCGAGAAGGTGAGTGTAGAGCCTGCCTTTCAGATTTACACATGTTCATTTTCTGTCGTTGAAGTCACACTGTATATCGACGGGGATGGTGGGATTTGAATGTGAAAATTAAAGGTTGAAGTCTATCTTTGCAGGAGGGTTTATTGTACTGTTGGTATCTGTTTTATGTTTTAACGGAGCAGCGCAGAGACGCAAAGTCTTTAGTTTCTTCCCTGACATAACTCTGCGAAGGTTTACTCTGAACACTTAGCTTGTCAAATTTAGTTTCAAGATGATTTGAATTAAGGATTAGAGAATATGGCCTAGCTACATTGGACACGTTCTAGAAAATGTGTCCCAAAACTAAATTAACCTCGTTTTTTGTGGAAGGTTCATTAACAAGGTAAGCTATGAGTGCTATTTTAAAGCAGTTTTAATGTTAAAACTAATCAGGTGAGGCGAGGAGTGGCACAATAGTTAGGCGCTAGGGCCCTGTGTTCAATTCTGGACCTAGGTTGTGGAGTTTGTATGTTCTCCTCGTGTTTGTGTGGGTTTCCTCCAGGTGCTCCGGTTTCCTCCCTCAGTCCAAAGACATACTGGTAGGTTAACTGGCATCTGGGAAATATGGCCCTGGTATAAGTTGTGAGAGTATTTGTGTTTGTGTGAGTGGTTGCAGACGTAATTTACTTAATAAGGTTCAAGCAGGTGGTTGCGTCAGCGTGCGTAGGCCGCAAAGGAACAAGTAGAAGTTTATTCCATGCTGAAAAGAGAAGAAACACAACGTTTTGGCTGTGGAGCTTGTGTTTCTTTTCCTCCGTTTTCGGCATGGAATAAACCTTAATCCTCCCCGACAGCAGCTTATTTTCTTTTGTTGAGCAAGTGGGGGTGAATCTCAGGGGTCCCATCCAGGGTGTATCCTCCCCTGCACCTGTTGCCTGCCAGGCTCCCCCGTACCCCTGAACTGGACGAAGCGGTTAGAGGCCGGCCCACGTCAAACAGGCTCCGGCGCGCCCTGTAACCGGCGCCGCGTTTCTCTGCTCCTCACAGAAGCTGCTGCAGCACCGCCCGGAGCCGCGGGTGATGCGCATCATGACCAACACCCCCGTGGTGGTGCGAGAGGGGGCCACGGTGTACGCAACCGGCACCCACGCCGAGGTGGAGGACGGGCGGCTCCTGGAGCAGCTGATGGCCAGCGTGGGCTTCTGCACCGAGGTGGAGGAGGACCTGATCGACGCCGTGACGGGACTCAGTGGGAGCGGCCCGGCCTATGTGAGGGAGCCCGTCTCGCCTGGCCCGGGGAGGACGGGTCTCGAGATCTAGGCCCTTTTTCCTCGATCGTTTTTTGGGTGGTGGCCCCCCCCATCCCCGTCCCGGTGACCGCTGCGCCTGTTGGTGTTTTATTTCAGCCGAGCCCTCAGTTTCACAGTCAGACCCTTTACGGAGCTCAGAATAACCAGATTCATGTGAACTCTTTGCTCTAAATCACGCCGGAGCTTTAACCACCTGAAGAAAGATATAAGATGTGAAGAAGGGGTCCGAATTTTGCAAGTGATAATAAAACCCCAAACTTGTGACTAGAAAAAAAAACACATTTTCCAATGAAGCAACTTCTTGCATCAATTAATGCTCTAATGAAGGTGGGCTGAGATGAAAACCAGCAGGTGTGGGGGTCACAGGGACCAGGACTGGGGCCCACTGGGGTGTTGACCGTGGACAGATGCATCGTCCTCTTGGAAGTCTGTTAGCTTGCTCCTTCTCCAGCAGACTTCCACAGTTAATTACATTTACTTCAGCTGTTAAAGGCCGACGCCTTTTCTGGTACTTGGCTTTGTTGGGGATTCATTTTTAAGCTTTACTACGTTTATTCACGTAAGCAGCTGAGTTGCAAGGTGCAAGGTGGCATGCTGACTCCTCCTTTGACGAATGTTCGATTTGCAAATTTTCACGTCTACCCATTTGAAACATGTATAACCTTTATTCGGCATGTTTAGTGATTTTAGATTTTAGTGATTCTAGACTGTACTGTACATCCTCCATCGGTCGTAGAACATCAGCCATCGAGGTCTGCTTCTGAGTATTGTTTCTTAATGCTGTATGTTTGTTTTAATTAGCACTCGTTAGTGTAATAGATATTTTACACTCCTTATGCGTACTATATGTAAGCCTTTTTTTCCTATTTTTAAAGCAATTTCGATGTCATGTGTCTCTAATTATTGCCCCCAATTAGTGGTAAATTCATTTTTAACAAACATTTGGTTCATGAGTGACATTTAAGGAATGTTTCCCTTTTGAAAAATGTGGAGTCGGTGTACTGTAAGCAGAACAACATGCGTGGTTTTCTTTAGTTGTGGGGAAACGGGGATTACAAATAAGACCGCATGATAAGCTTTACTGTATGTGAAATGAACAGCTTTCTTTCGGTGACTGTTTTCCCTGTGCATTTCTGTTCTGTTCATTGTTTTAATGGCCTGTCCTTTTTCTTTCCAGGCGTTCACGGCTCTCGATGCCCTGGCGGACGGTGGGGTGAAAATGGGGCTCCCCAGACGACTGGCAGTCCGACTTGGGGCTCAGGCCCTACTGGTTAGTGATATGGGCACCAAAAAAGCGCATTTAAACAACAGCTTTGATCTGCCATGAAGCAGAAGCTTTATCATTTATTTTAATGTTTTTATTTATTGAGAGAATGTTTGCTTAAGGGTGTATTCCGTCCCTAATTAACAAGATAATAAAGGTTTAAAAACCATGAACGACACCTGAAGTTGTGCTTACAACTGATGTTTTTTAACTTTCTTTTCCACTTTTCCACACATTCACTCAGGGCGTTAGCATCTAAACTGTTATATTTGCAGAAAACGGTAAATTCCAGATAACTACAGGTCTTAACTTGAGACATTTTAATTAATTTGAGTTTTTAGACATCATTTCAGAATCCCTCCTTTCATAAGAAAGTAAAAAAGGTTAGAAATGTAAGAAGCTGTTAAGCCCTTCCAGCTCAATTGGTTACTAGTAGCTTATTGGTCAGGTGATCTCACCTAGTCCTTTCTTGGGCTGTTAACTTCACCAATACAGCTCAGTTACTTATTCCAAGCTCCCACCACCCTTACTGTAACAAAAGTGTCTCTTGTTCTTGTTTTCGAATTCCATGTAATCTTTTCACTTCAAGTTTAAACTAATTTCCACAGGCTTTCAATTATGGTTCCCTCTGTCAATGCCTCTTAGATTTTGGAGTACTCGAAGAAAACCTTACCCTAGGATAGAAAAATAGGATACAAAGAGAGTAAAATGTAAGGGACTGCACCAGAAAATGCAGTTTAATCTTCCAAAAAGGCCTTTGTAAATAATTGTGGCTATATAAGAAAGATAGGACAAAGGTATGTTTTGTGGTCAGATTAGTTTAACATGGCATTGAGCTGTGGACAGCAGTGCAACACGTTACCAGGGGCAGTGTAAAGTGTCGGTTGTATCCCTGGGCATCTCCTTCTCCAGATTAAACTGTTTTACCCTGGGGTGTGTTTGAGGGAGAGAGATGGACAACATGGAGGATGGCATGTTAGTTTGAGGCACAACATTCATTGTGTTTTAGGGGTTTGGCCTGTTCAGCCCTTCCAGCAGTGAGAAAGTTGCAAGGAAATTAATCTCCACAGGTCCATAAGTCCACAGGAAAACCCACTGGGAAGAAATATTCATGCAACAGAGAGATTCTGAACTATGTTTTTGCACAATGTCGTAATGTAACTTTTTCCATCATATTCGGTTCCTGGTTCCGCTTCTTCGCTGGATGAAGCTTCTGAATCTCCCATTAACCTAAGTAAAATAACCTCTGCTGTTATTTACATGGCTCTGTTTTTCAGCTATTTCTTCTTAAAATCTCGCTCTTGGGCACGAAGTAAAATTTTGCAGTGTCTCCCTGTAACTTCTGCCCTCTGCGTCCTCATTCCACTCACTGTCTTTCCTGTGTGCTGCTCCCAGGGAGCTGCTAAGATGCTGCTGGATTCGGAGCAGCACCCTGGCCAGCTGAAAGATAACGTGTGCTCACCCGGCGGCGCCACCATCCACGCCCTGCACTTTCTAGAGAGTGGCGGATTCCGCAGCCTGCTCATCAATGCAGTAGAGGCATCTTGCATCAGGACCAGGTACAGCACTTGTTGCCTAGGTAACCGAGGGATGCTTTTTTTGTGTATAACCACTTGCTGATGACGGAAGAAGCAGCTCGCTGCTCAGCTCCTCCACAATTTGATGTAAGCGCCATTATCGGACCAAAAATCTTTTCTCCTCTTTTATTTTTTTTTAAATTCAATATTATTTTTATATTGACAGACGGAAAGCTTTTCTTCAGGACCTTAATGTGAACCTTTATGCTGAAAATAATTATTATTTTAGTTAAAATTGAAAGTAGCAGTTTTCAGCAACCGGATTCTTATTTCTATCACCCTAATTGGGCTTCCATGAGTGAGGCTTAACAAATATGCACAAGAAAAAAAATCTTCCCATGTTTCGGGTTTGTTATGCTGCAATTCTACCAGCAGATGGCATGAATAGATAATATTTTAAAGGCGAATGGGTTCCATCTCAGCTGTTCAGGGTATTCATCTTTTAACTTTAAATGTGTTGATAAAACAGCAGCTTGTTATGTCCTTGTGAGCCCGTAGATCTTTCACTACAGCTCTTTCTGCTCGATCTGGAAGAGACGTTTGCTTCATACGCGTACAGACCTCCTTTCATTACCCTGACGTTGCCTGAATGCTGGAGCAGCTGTGACCCATGTCTCTGTGCTTGACCCACGGGGCCCTTTAGGGAGCTGCAGACCCTGGCTGACCAAGAGCAGATCTCCCCAGCCGCCATCAAGAAGACCACACTGGACAAGGTCCGCCAGCAGTCGCCCCAGATGGGAGCCAAGGCCGGGCTCAACCTCTTCAATAACAAGCACCCAGGCACCAAGAAGCACTGAGCGGGCGCCGGGGGGAGCGTCAGGTGGCGACTTCGCCTGCTGATACCTCGGCGACAGAAGTGCTTTTCAAAGCCAGCGGTCCTTTCTTCGCACGAGAGCCTCTTGCAGCAGTAGTGAGGACACTGAAGTCAGAACATAAACTGGGGGAGGTGCGACACCAGCCAGATCCCTCTTTTAGATGAGGCTAAATTTTGCGGCTAGCAATTGTAGCACGTTGTTGTTTCGGGATGAAAAGTTTTCTGCATTACACATGTTGTTTTAGTTTTTTTTTTCTTTTTTTTTATTTACTGTTTTTTCTTATCCTGTCAAAAACGTTTCAGGTTTTCATTGTGCCCTGAAAGTACCAAACTCTTTTGGTATGAATACTCTTGGCCAACAGAAATCATGAAGTGTACTGTGATGAAAACCATCATGTCCTTAGCGAGTTATGCCGCCTGTGGAAGGGCCATAGTGTGGATCAGTCTTTGTCATCTCCGGTTTTATGATTTTTATTAGATATTTGATCTAGTGATGTAAAATAAGGACTTTGGGGTACTACATTCTCTTTTTAAAGAAGTCCCACATTTGTACTTCCACAGGAAGTGAAATTTGTTCAAGGCCACAGGGTGTCATGCAGTGTACAATGGAATGAAATTGGCACAACAGCCTTTGTTTTACACATCATTGAAAAGGCTGTCAATTTGCAATGATCCACCATGCATCACGTGTTGCAAGCAAGTTCCGAAATGCTGCGTTAGACATTGAGAGCACCAGTCTGCAGAGGTGAATTGGGGTTAAAAAGTGAAAAGCAAAAATCTGGTGATTGCAAGACTGTATCCAGAAAGATAATGAGCAGTGCGAACTTCACACAGGCATGTCCTCTTGACAACATTCAATTTAATGCATATTTTTTGTAGTTTTATATATTTTATATATATATACAGGGGAAAAAACAAGCCTTGATTTTGAAAAATAAAGCACACTAAATCTCAGTCATCTCTTCGTTGTTACCATTTACTCTGCTTCTTGATTTGCAGTTTATATCCAAAGAGAAATGAAATGGGTACAAGAAACGACATTAAAGAACCAGTAGTATGTCGGTCATTAAATGTATGTTTGTCAACATAAAGCTTGCTTCACTTAATGTTGCTAAGTGGAAAGTGTTAATAATCATTTCATTTTATGTTACAGAATGTGTAGTAGAATATTTTTGTTACAAGTAAAACTATGTATTATGGATACAGAGGGATCTCAAATTTGGCCAATTCTGAAGTGTCTCACTGACATGTTTTATTTGGCAGATTAAAGAGATTTTAAAAACGGAACAGTTTTATATGAGCAATTCTTTTTAAATAACAATCAAGGCTTCTTTTTTTTTTTTTTTTTTACTTTTTTTGGACAGGAGTAAGTACTTTCAATTAACATTTGAAACCAACATCTCAGTTCCCACTTATTGAATAAGCAAATTCTACATTTAAACAGAGCCCTTCTACATGTCGAAAGTGCTCTTGTGATCTTCAAGGTATTATTTGTAAGGAGATGTTCTGCATAAACCTTACTGAATGTCTGCACATTCACTGCCACCTGTGCATTCAAACATAATTGGCATTCATTGAATTGAATGGTTAATTGGATTAGCCCAAAGCCTCTTGATTTTTCAGAACCGACTCCTTGATTTTTAAGCTTCTTAAAAGCGAGTGCCAGGTTATGCTTGGTGTCTTTATTTTCGACTCTTGAGGTTCACCGATGTGTCATCCCAGGCAGAACAGTAGAAGCATACCTGCTAAGTGCTTGTAATGGACATTAATACATTTCCCAGGCAGAATGAAGCCCATCTGGCTTCAAACTGCCACTTGATAATACGGAGGACAGTTGGGACTAAACCTCACATGTCACAGGGCCTCTTGTTAGATGTGCTTTTCCTTCTAGGACCAGAAATTGCAAGAAGCAAGCGTTAAACCAGCTTTAAGAACTGACCTCAATCAGATTACCAGTGTGTCATCTTTTATCAGTTGACTGAAACACTTGTCCTTTTGCGGTCCAGAATATTTTTGTCAGTTCTTTCCAGTTTTTATGCTAACTACAGAATGCTTTTTTGAAAAAGCACTTTGTCCTTTTAAGGTGTACAGGATGTGTTTTGCTTGTGAATGCATTTTTGATTAAAACAGACTGCCGCATTTTACAGTAATGCAGGTTTAAGTCCTGGAATCGGTATTGCTGACTTCCTCTATAGTATCTTTAAAAACTGCAGTATTGCACTTATTTAAAATGCAATGCAAAAAGAGTCTATAGCAGGGGAACACGTTCAAAACACTTTGGAGAAATCCTTAAATAACCAGCTTGGAAACTGATTACATGATACAATAGATGATTTGAGCTGAATAGTTATGTTGCTGTATGTAAGCTTGACAGTGCCTTGTCATTTACCACTGGTCAGTTGTCACTAAGATGCTAAATATTGAAGCGGGCCAACATTGAATGTTAAAAACTGAACTTGGCAAAGTCGTTTGCTGCCATACCTCTCAGTGTGCACTGGTTACACCTTGCTGTGACAATGATGGGGGATAATGAGATCTGTCGAATGTCATACATATCCCTAGTCACAGAATAACCCTGGTCCTCAATTATGATGCCAAGATGGACTGTAGGAAGAACCATATCCGCTCTAGGCTACCTCAGCAGCTTCTCAAGTGATAAACCAATTTGGACCTGAGCTCCACCTCTCTGACATCGAGAGAAGCGCATTTTGTGGTGTCAGCTTTCTTTGCTGCAGACTCAGACCACTAAACCACCATGGTGATTGGATTCAGATGGGTTATCTTAAGAAGTCAGTGAGGCTCTGGTTTGACTGGAGCGATGAATCACTGGCCTGCAAAGTAGAAGAAACTGTCCCAATCTTGCATTTAATAATTCTTTTCAATTTTTTTGGGGGTGCACAGCTGTACATAGTATCCTCTCATCTCCCTGTTTGTCAATAAAAATGTGTTCACACACATAGATAAAACGTGAAGCCTCCCTTGCACGTCACTAGCAAGCACACTTCACAATTCTGAGTATCACTTATGTCTAGATAAAGAGAAGTGGAATAGAATGGGAGATATGAGACACTTCTGTAAAAAGAAAAGGTTTTTACCTTAAAATGGCACTGTGCCCTGTAAATATCAAAAGCTGACAAGCTCTGGGATTTGTGCTCATTTTCTTTCCTAACAAGTCACACTCTTAAGTAGGCTTCAGTGCTTTCCGTTTGTTTGTGCTTGAGGATTTTTGTTACAGTCACAGCAAGGCAATGAAGTCTTGGCGTAATCCCTCTTTTATTCAAAAGGTTATACTCCACTGCCTCGCAGCACTCTCCAGCTAGATAAGTCGGCCTGAAATACCTTTTCATTTGCTTCTCATTATGCCTGTCGATGTTGCCAGGCTTTTGTGAGCTTCCTTTGATTCGGAGGAAGAAGAAGAAGAGGCGTGTGTGAGCAGTGCCAGCAACTTTGATATGATCTCTCAAAGGAACTGCCACGGAGGATAGCCACTAGAGGGTGCCAGTACATATTGCCTCACACTATTTATAAAGGACGTTGGTTTTTTGAAATGCCACAAAAGAGAAATAAAAATGATCCGAATGCAGAAAGAACATAATTTTTTTTTCTGTAGTTGCGTGATTCTGAAGTTACTGAGTTTATTCAGTGTTTCTTGTTTTTGTCCTTAAAAACATCTAAATATCCACTTATTTCTTAGTTTTGTGGCTTATTTGGTGCAGCCTGTGTTCCACAGTTGCTTTAGAACCTATTATCGGAGGAATCTACCACTTTGTGATATCTTACATAGCTAAAAGTGCATGCTCTCTTTGTTGTATTTGGGACCTGGAATTTTGAACAGATACATAATAGTTTTTTCCTCATTAACAGTATACAGTTGCTGTGTCTTTGCTTCCAGCAAGTTAAGACAATGCTTTATTCCATTGTGAGCTGAGCAACTGACCTACATGTATCTAAATGTAACCAGATGTGAGCACATTGTACAGTATGCTTACATCTCACTCATTGCCACAACAGGTTGTAGAAATGCTCTGACATGGTTTGGATATCTAAAATATAAACCATTCAAAATACACATGATGTGAAATAATCACAAGCGCCAGACATCTTCACTAATGTCACTCGTGTTTGAAACGTGAAATTTCAATTTTAGCTCCCCAGGTTCATTGTCAGGCTTGATTATGTTCAAATGGGCCAAGTCTGACATCTGGTGGAAAAAAACATACCTTTTACTTTGTGCAAGGAACAGAAAAAATAAGCTTACAGTCAGAGATTCTGTATACTTCACTGACACACTGTTTTAGGTATGTCTCTGTGAGTTACGCAGTTGAAATATGTGTTTCAAAAAACCAGCTTAGAGATCAAATCAACACTTGATACTAACAGCAATTTTGCTCTTGCTTTGGCACAGACTTCTCGGAAACTCTCATGTTAACATGTTCTCCATTACATTACATTTAGCAATGAATTTGGGTTTTTGCAACCTCACATTTATCAATGAAAATGTTGAAATATTTTTGGTCAGTGCAGAAGGCAACATCGTGTCCAATCCGACCGGGGACTTGTCTAATCAGACTTTTGCTGGAGTTCTGGCAGGAGCGCACTGCAGACAGCGCCTGACCTTTCGGCAAGGCCACGCTGCAGAAGCTCTAAATTTAAATTAGCAGAAATAATAAATGAGAAGAGGCAGCCCATTCGATCCACTATCGTGCAGATGCAGCTGGGCTGTGTGAGGAAGAAGGTCTAGCTTGGTTTTACGACCAGTAAAAACCATTTCCCTCCAGCGACAGTGAATCATCACTTTCGCTTCCCCCTGCTGTCTCCTGTGCTGTAACGGTTTCGTGGACGGCGGAGCGGACTCCAGAGGGCTCCCGGTTGATGCTCTCTGCCGTGGAATACATTAGTGGGCGATCAATATAGATCTATTAAAATCAGTCGTGGTCAATGCACTCGGGTATACTGTTCCTGTAAGTGGGCCACCATTTCATCAAAACGCAGGATTGACATGCAGTGGTTTTTAAACACGTTGGACAAGCAGCTTGGATCGCACACTGGCCAGCTCTTGTGATATGATTATGGCAGAATGGAGTAGTTGTTGGGCCTCTAGGTTTTCAACTGGTGGTAGATTCCAGTTCTGGGGGGGGGAGAGACACTGTTCTTGTTAACCTTGAGCAATGCACTCAGTCTGCTGCAGTAAAGCACCCAAGTAAACTTAAAGACTTAAATGAACGAACCCAGGAATCTTGGAGCTTAACACGATCAGTAGGTGAAGTCCGTCACTCCGATATAAACTCAAATTGTCTGAGCTGTTTTTAAGAAAAAAAACTGCAGAATGGGCCTCCTTTGCAGGAAAGCATTCCACGAAAAAAACCCCCCCAAACAATTGACATTTCTAACACGAGGCTGGTGTTACCGTTATTAAAGACATATTAAACACTGAATGTGTTAACATTAATCTGTTTCAACATATGTTAAACATTAATCTGCTTTTTGTCATTCTACAGAGAACATTTGCATGCACACCGTCAGCAAGTTCTTGAAATATCAATATAAGGCATACAAGCATGTAAATAAGCAGTTTTTCAGGTGAAGTGTGTAAATGTCTTTAAATTAAAGGAACAAGGAACACATTAGCCATTTAGATTGAAAACGTGAAGAGGGTGAATATTTCCCCCATTTTCTCTCGCCCTTAGTTTTAAAAGATAAAGTTGGTTAAGGCAGCAAAAAATACTACTGTTCTTGACTCCAGTGAGGTTTGGACACATAGTGTATTGTGGAGTACACGCCGGATTTTAACAATCAGAACTGAGCGACAGGCCTGCATCGATTCAGACGCGCTTTCTCGTTCTCAACGAGGCTGTGCTTTGTAGGGGGTGATGGTCGCAGTTTGTACAGATTGAATGAATTGGGTCAGGCGCTTGTAGGACCGGTGGTTGCGAGGAAGAAGATTGAGTTTCACTGAACCCGGCGTCTGGGGAGAATAAAATGTAATTGCAGCTTTGTATTTTAAAGGCGAACGGTCCCCCAAATGATCCCTAAATTTAAGTCATTGCATTGAAGCCTACATCCACTCCTGCCGCCCTCCCCCTCCAACAAAACTAGTTAAGAGAAGAATGAGGATATTATACAAGTCATCTGCTTTCGCTTTGTGTGTGGACCCAAAGAGAAATGTGTGTCGTAGTTCACTTTTTTAAAGACAGATATTATATCCTACGATAAATTTTCTAGATTGCCCGGATTTACGTGTCTCGAACCTATTAAAAGCAGAGAGGTCACGCAGACTTTAACATTAA